CCCCCCCCCCCTGGAAATTTAGAAAAAAAAACCAGATAGATCTGTGGATCCGCCACTGTTTTACATTTGCTAATATAATGTCATCAATCTCTTTTGTGATGTCATCAATTTCATTGTTGTCAACACTTAATTTGCTGTTCAAAGAACTGTTCAAAATACCTAAATAAAGCATTACTCTATCAAAATGTAAATATAAATAATGAATCTTTTTAGCAAATATTGTTATGGTCTTTGCGCTGACAAACCTATATAAAGCCCTTCCCCAGCTTTATTAAGTTTGTCATCAATAGCAATGTGTGTTATAGGATCATAATTAACCATGTAATTTGCAAAAAAACATTGCTTAAATGAAGGTAAAAGCAAATCTGATTACGCACGCAGTGTGATTTCAACCCGAAAATCTTCAGATTATTACAAGACAGTGTGATTAACAATAGTCTATTTTTCTTTTTGAGATTCGGAGCCATTTAAATGTAAACTGTTAAAACTAAATATAACAACACTGATGCTGACATCAACAGTGATGTTACAAGGTGTCAAGATTATTCTCTTGATTTTCAACAATCATCTCGATCAAATTTCTGCCAATTTCAGTTGTTAATCCAGATATTTCTAGATAAGAATCTCAACTAACATTACTGTGTTGTCAAACTTTTATATCTTACCGTGAAATCATCGGTCATATTCTTTTCAAAATTGTTCTTTGAGTCGTCTAACATGAGTTTCTTGGTAACACCCTTTTCACCGTGAATCTTGACGAAGACATTCGCATCTGTCCCTGCATACCTGACGTTGCCCGTCTTCACCGTGATCTGGTATGTAGTGCAGGCCCCTGTTTAACAGTAAACATAAGCTACGGTAACATCTTAATCAAATAATTAAATTAAAAATTATATTAAAAAAATTGTGACTTCAAAATTCTGTTTCTCCAACTATCTCCTTATACATTCATGTAATTTCTTGCTTAAAAATATACATAAAGGATACCAAAAGGCTTGTAATTTGGAAGATATAAAAACTTGTCTCATTCTCTTTATGTTTGGGACTGATTTAAGGAATAAACACTGTTTTTTTATTCATTTAAACATTCTAGATGCATTATTTAGTTTTCAAATTAGAAAAAAATGTATTTTAAAATCAACTTCAAAAATTGAGAAGTGGAAACTTTGCTGTTTTCTCAGAAGAAAAAAAAGAACCAAATTACACTATATTATTAAAATTTTCATTTCAAAATGTATGTATATATGTATGTAATTTTTGAATGAAAAAAAAAATTAGTGTAGAATAACTGTTATTTATAAGAAAAGACACTTTTTTAATTTGAAATATGGCAGGGTGTATCATGCAGAAAATGTTCATCAAATCATAATTGGATCATATCATTATTTGGAAAAATACTTCTATATCCTAAACCAAAACACCACGAAAAAAAAAAGACATAAAAAGTTATACAGTAACTTGAGAGATGTTGTCTTTAAAAATTAATCAATGAAGAATTAATTGTGCACTCAGTTCAAATCTAATTATAATCGATGGAAATGTAAAATTCATCATCAGTAATACTTTTAATAATAAAACTACACTAAATGAATATAGTGTAATCAAGTTTTCTTTCAAATTTTGAATGTATATAGGTATAATTTGAAATTAAGTAATTCCACAGAAAGATGGATAAACTTGATATCTCATAAGATTTTCCAACAGCTTCTTTATTGAGTTTAATTTTACAAAAACAAACAAAAATGATCCTAATGACATGCAGAAAATTGAAATGAAATAAGAGAAAGTACAGGTAAAATCTAACGATAAATCAAAATTAGGAATTAACATTAACGACATGCACTAATACCATCTAACAGTTCAGAATCAACAATATTTGTTCCATACAAATGAAGAAATCACTGATACATATACCATAATCTACAACATCAGAATCAGACACCAGAATTTGCATGCACTTTAATTTGTATGCAGATTTTTACATACAGCCGATATGTACATTCTCTATTTGATATGAATGACATAATCTTTGTCAGTCCAGGCATGATGAGCTGTACTAAACTGTGATGTATATCTGTATTCCCAAGATCCTAAAAAAAACTCATGTGTATTGACTATTTATTCCCCAATCCCTCAATCCAATCCTCCTTATTCTATTTACGAAATTCGGTAAAATACATCTTATAGTGATCAGAAAATAATAGACAAGATTTGGAATTTTTGTTTTAAAAATGAAACATTTGCTTGTAACTGTAAATAAGAATTTCATTAATTAGTAAATCACGTTTTAAAAATTCTGATCTACTAAAACGATCAATCCAAAATGAAACAAAAATAAAAGTAAAAATCTATCTATAACTAGTCACAGGTACTTGGTACAACAAAGGAACACAATACATTATGACATCTTTATTCCGTCTTTGCGTATTGCAGAGTTATCTTCTCTTGGGAGCAGGTATTGATTGTTACGTCACTTGTTTGTGTGAGAGTAACGTCATCAATTTTTGAGAAAACGACGTAATTTTCTCGCACAAACCAATGACATAACAATCAATACCTGCCCCCAAGAGAAGATAACTCTGCAATACGCAAAGACGGAATAGCTAGTGCCTATACAATCTACAAAACAAGGATTTGTCGAAATTACTTTTCTGTTGAACTGGAGCAATAGTGCCTGAAATAGAAACATTTTACACTACAAATATTTGTCACAACATGTGTTACTTTACCAAGACTTCAAAACATCAGTTCTATACTCTTCAGCTAATTATTTGTGATCAACATCAACAGACTTAAGTCCAAGGTGACTGGCATTGCATTCCATGACAAACAATTTGAATGTTGAATCCCGTTCACGACACAGGGGCTTGTTAATTGTTTTAAATGTTTTTCTTCACAATATATACAACTCAATACACAATATATGTAGAGTGGAACTATAACTTTCATCTGACCCTATAATAGTCCTTGACCTTTGAAACAGCTTGTTTTATTGATATATGCTGTGATAATTCTTATTGGAAAACCAAGAGATCTGTCCCTTGAAACACTGTTTGGACAGTAGAGCTACCAGAGTAGTGGTTTGTGATACTCCAGCACTATTCTATGTTTAATGGTATAAAGTATTAAGATTCCAAAAAGAACATTACAAGCCCCTGTGTTCCATCCTCCAAATCCAAAGGTTCCGTTCTCAGTGTATACGTATGTTCTCTGTTCCCCTGGAATTTGTCATTACAAAAATGAAAGCTTGCAGTTATAGTTAAATTGGTTTCGGGTATAACACCCTGACCAATGGCTAGGCTGCATACCAATCCTTTGAAGATTATATACACAGAGGAGCTATGCCCAACTTCAAAACCTGTTGATTTTACCGCTACGCTGCCGGAAAATTCCTTTAGACATCGGAACAGTCTACTTGAATTTTCCCCAGAGTGATGCATAATAAAAGAACCTTCAATTTTATCGTGACATATTCCAAGAGTACACTGAAGATTTCTGATCCATCAATCATGACATTGTAAACATCTTAATACTGTAATAAATACAATTATACAAGATGAGCATTTATAACAGATCTAGTCTAGGAACACTTTACTAACACGAGGGATCCATAACCAAGGTGTTAAAATGTGTTGATCGGCACAATGGGTGTAAGGGATGTAGTTGCAGACATATTTTAGCAAAAATACTCGTGACAATTTTTTAATTATCGCACACTTCCATTTTGCAAATCTTTTTCCAGAAGCTGTTCTTTTTTTCTAATACTTAAATATATATATATATCTATCCACTAAAATAAACAATATTTAATACCAGATCATCATTGAAGGAATATCAAAAAGTTAAGTTTTAAGTTTGTTGGGCAAAATTGATTTCTCGGAGCAGTATTGTATGAAATTTTCTCATAACATTCATATTTTTCATACAACAGATATAGTTACAACAATATTTTAAATAACTTTTCCTGGCTTAATCCTCCTAGACATCTATTTTTTTTGGTTTCCAGAACGAAATATTTTAACATTAATTTCTCATTCTTTGAATGAGTAGAGCAAGTTTATGGTACAATTTTTTTTCTAGAAAGCAATCAGATCTTCAATCAGGTTTTACATTGTATAAATTCATTAAAAATAATTCAGTAACTGTTTCTATACTTTTAAACTTCACCATTAAAAGAGACACAGTCTGTGATATCTTAGATAAATATAATAATCCACCAACAAAACCTCGTGATATATATAAACAGGACACTGCAATAGCTATAGTACAGACAGAGTTCAATCAATTTGGTTAAAGTTAAATATCTATAGATAAAGCCTAAGTTTAACATGTTATATACAGAAGCATGGAGATGTATTAATGCATAAATAAATTGTGAATAAACAGAAAAAAAATCCAATACTAACTTATTTATACTATACTGAAGATGAATCCCTTTAAATTAATATTAATATTAAAATTTATTTTCATCCCTAAAACAATGCGTCTATTTAAAACAAAGTCGAAATACTATTAAAAAGAAAAAGAATCTTAAAAGTTCAAGAAATATCATTAAATATTTTTTACAAGATACAAGGACAAAAATTTAAATGGGACAAAAATTCCTTTTACACTGCCATGTGACAGTCCATTTACATTGAACACTTACCAGAAGAGAGTTCTTTTGGAAGGAATTTCTGCGCCTTGATGTCGCGGTACAGTTTTCCGTCTCCAACATCTTTACCGATCCACCCATTGTATATAAAGTAGTACTTCTGAGTTCTATTGATGTTGGAGAAAATCTCGATCTTCAAGAGAAAAACAGTGGCAAATCAGTATACAATCTACAGTATAGGATTAATAAAGAAAAAAACGACATCACATGTAATATTTTTGTGGTAATTTAGCTAAATGCTTTTAGCAGAATAAAATATAATTTTCTAATTTTGCTTATACAGAGTAGATGTTGTGTAACAACATTTCAGAAAACCTATGTTTCAACAAAAATCGTAACATGATGACAAAAAGGTAACAATTTTCGATACACTGGAAATAAATTGGTTAGTATATATAAAGCTGTAATTTTTCATGGCGTAGAATGGGTAATTTGTTTTTCTAATTTTGTGACAAAATCTTTTCAAAGCACAACATTCAACACCTATTGAAAATGCTTTCTGTGCAATGAATAACAAGCATGAAGCAAAACTTAGTGGGTGGCATTCCATGAAATATAAACCCGGCGAATATATTCTAGTTTCTTATCAATGAGATTTACGTCTGCAAATCAATGCAGTAGTTAAAGAAATGATAAAACTCATAAAAAATTGTTCACTTTTTACTTTTTGATTAAAAAACGATGGTAACAGTTACCATGCAAAAACCAATATCCAAATCATTTGATAATCATGCTTTTTGGATGTGATTTAATTGTCAGGCACAAAGTGATTGAGTGACTACCTTTAACATGTAACGTGAATTCATAATCCATTGATCACATGCTAAGTACATACCTTCAAATCTAGAATTGATGGCTGTTCAATGACATTTTAATATCATAAATCACTGTGTTTTTATACAAGGTAAGCTTTCTCTTTTAATGTTTACCTAAAATCATGTTTTGGTGATGGTATATAGGTACAGATATATAAATAAATGTTACAACAATTTAGCATATCAACACCTGTATTAATCAAATGTACAAAAAAAGCTGTTCAAAAGCAGCAAATCTTGCCTATTCCAAAATGATGTTCAAAATTAATTTAAGTTTTAAGTCCAAAACAGGCAAATAATATCAAATCATTGAATTTGGTGTTTTTTTGCTTGCTCACAATACATCAATATTTGCAATCCTGGGGAACTTAAATACCAAATATCAGTACACTTATACAAGTACTTAAGGACACTAATATACAAATATATTAACAAATTTATCTATATTCATTATCAAAAATTATGTATTAGGAGAGCTTCTTTATATCTTACAAAACCTCAATACCCTCAAAATTAAGGGAAAACTAGAAAATGTCTGTAAGACATAAATGCCCCTGCTCATGGATGGGACGGGACGGACAGAACAGGACGGGACGGTATGGGACGTGACTGGACGGATATGGGCAACACTATATGCCCCCCCCCCCCCATTTTATGGCGGGGGCATAAAAAACAATTCTTTAGAAAAAATTGAATTCAACATATATTATTCACAAACTATAGACTCATACATCTTATAGATATATCTTTTTGGAAACTTAATGTCAAGGTTCCCGTAACTTTGATTTTAAAACAAACAAATCCAGATAAGATTTTAAGTCGTACATAAAGGATCCTAAATGAGTTTTCATTTCATATGAGATTTTATGAAACGAGTCTCGCCAAGGCTCGCAAAAATAAAAACTTTGAGACGAGTTTCATAAAAGCTCATATGAAATGAAAACAAATTTAAGTTACTTTTTATCACATAACTCAGAAAACTTACATTTTGACAGGTTTTAAAGCCAAAATGTAGAGGGCTTAATCAAACGGAGACAGCCATTTTGTTGCGCCATCGATTTCTGACTGGCACAGCCAATAAAAAAAAGGCTCCAGGGTATATTACACTAGTGACATATATATGTAAAAATATTACACGGGTGAATTCACTGGATAACAGGCCGATTATGTGATAAATGTATATGGTATATAAGTACTTACGTTGCTGAGATGCCAACTAGATGCAAAACCTTTGTCATCATGTTCAATCCTAGAACAAAACATAAGGAGATAGATAAGTAATTCATAGATAAAAAAAACAGCATGACTGACTTTAAAAGATATAGGCTGTTCCGAGTGCTAATTTTAGTCTATTACTAAGAAGTTGTACATGTATATCTATAAATGTATAAACTTTGGTCCCCAATTGGCCACTATTTCATTTTACAAATAAATATTTATTAAATGGATACTGTTACATTATTTTGATGTCTTTTCAAAATTTTACTGCAAACAAGTTTGTCAGTTGAAAATGCGAGTACCTCAAATGTGGTTTTTTTTATATTACCATTATTTTCTTAACAAACACTATAAAACAAAATTCTTTGTTACAAGTTTCGACTTTTTTGAACAACAGATATATCTTAACTCACAATTACACAAGTTCACAATGAATTATTGGTATATGAAAATGGAAAATTATATTAAAAAAAACCCAACATATTTTCTATTGTTTTTCATACCTAAGCCTCTTCAGATCTCCCAAAGATGGCATGGCTACCACAAATGTGTCAGTCTTTCCTTTCTCAAATGCCTTCTTGCCTGACGATTTGTCCACCAGGAGTATTTTCTTACTCTCGCCCTCCGTTCCGTACAGTGTGACAAAGATGTTAGCATCAGTCCCCGCCATCATTTTCTTACCAGTGCTCACCGTTATAACATACTCTAAATGAGAAGATTTTTAAAAAAAATATTATTTTTTTACAGAATTTTCTCAAATCCCAACTTCTATCATTTTTTTGCACCAGAGTACATTTCATATATCTAGTTTTTATGTAAGTTTTCGTTTAACATGTTGTTTTTTGGAACATTGTTTTCCATTGTATTTTTATGTTGTCTAATTCTGATGCAGTGAGGTTACCTCCCCTTCATATCGTTTTATTTGAATCGTCATTGAAATACACTGATCCGAGCCCAAAGATGTAAATTAATGCTGAAAAAATTGTTTTGGATAGTTTTGTTGGAAGCTGGTTAAAGTTTCAGTTTCAAACTGACTGATGATCAATAACTAATTGATTACAAGTGGCCTCTCTGTCATATAGTTTACAAATATTTCAGCAATGGTTATAGAAGTTCTTTTTATAATAATACAATGTTACTGTAAGTTACTTTTTACCAAAACTTTAAACATGGAAACAACATTTACCGGTACACAGATTTAAACAAATGTGAATAGAAACAATTCAATATTTACAACTATCCCAGGGGTGCAGAGAGCATAAGTGCATGGACGTAACCCTGGAGTATCAAGGACGATGACAACAAGGTTTAAGATATTGTTGTACACATGTTCCTTCATATGGGTGCCAGTGACATAAGGCTATAGCTAGTCCATTTCCAAGCGCTGCCTCTGCTAGGAGTCATACCCGAGACTATATATTACCATAGTCCAGTACTATTACTCTAAACACATGATTGGTCATCGGCCAAACGAAAGTCCATGGTTGAGGACTGTGAGAAAATACATTACCTTCCTGAGCAATCTGTTTCTCCTTCGCCATCAGATCTCGTTTGGTGCAGTAGTCCGGGATGTGTAGAGACAGCCAGTTCTTACAATAGAATGTCCACTCATGTCTGGTCTTCATATCCGTGACGTTGATTTTCTCTAAATACCACGAATGGTTTTTTGCCAAACCATCATGCTGTCAACATAATCAAAATATCAATCACAATAAAAGTACTGGTAAATATCCATTTTTACAAATAGTTATTTTCTTAAAGATTTGAATTTGCTAAAGGACCATAATTAAAGATACAGAATGTTTCTTTAGAGGTGAACCAAAAATGTTTTCACAAACCAACTTTTTTTGTGTAAGTGTGAGAGCAAATAAATCTGATCATTTTGAAATAGCTGAACCAAACCTAACAATTAGACAATAAGTTACACAACAGCTATATGTCTATATGGTTCCAAGTTCAAAATGTAAAAATGCTCCATCCTCTGCAATAAAGTAAGAATGTTAATTACACAGACTAAAATTGGAAGCATTTTGAAAGCTTACCTCAATTGTGAGCATACGTAAAACTCCCAACCTTGGCCCCTTTAGGAAAAATGTTTCTTTTGTGTTTCTCATGAAGCAGAAACTGGATGACCCTCGAACTTTAGTCAACTTGGTCTTGTCCAGAACCTCCTTGTCCCCAACAATCGTAATGAATACCTGAAATGATTGTTCAAACAGCACATGTTCAGTCAGGTGAAATTTCTGATGAAAAATCTCAAAAATAGCTCAGTCTTAGAATTAATACTTTTATGGTATCCAGATAAAAAAAAAATGACTTATTTTGCTCTTAGCATATTCAGTAGCCTTACATTAGCGGTTGTTCCGGCTAAATCCACGTCGCCTGTGTACACATCAACTTTGTATAGATTTTCATGAATAGGTATCCTTTCTTCTTCTTCGTATTTCTTCTTCACTCTCGGACGGGGAGCGATATATTCTATTTTAGGAAGGGCTGTCACTGGGCGTTTCTTCCTCTGATAGGTATCAAAACGGAAAGACAAATATTAGGATTTACCATGAAAACGAGAATGTATAAGTTCCTTTTCGTTCAAATAATGATATAAATGATTTGTTTTTAAAAATTACAATTACAATGTAACAGTAATACTAAAAATAATAGCTAGACAGAAGTTTCATGAAAATGACTAAATGAAATTCGCTAAATGAAGTTTTTTCATAGAGATAACGAAAAATCTCAAATTCAGGATTTTTTCTTTAAATTTAGGAACTCCCTTAAATAAAGGAATGTTTGTAAAACTGGAGCCAGACATTGAGAAGTTTAATCTTTGAATATGCATCTCTTTTGTTGATAAAAGGTACTGACCTGCAGCAACATGTGCCGTTCGTGTTCTTCCATTGTAGAGCAAAAATAACAAAATTTGTTGACATATTTTCCTGAAATAAAAGAAGAAATAAAATCTTATTAGGACTGATACTGAAACATGACAAACAACTAACAGTATCTGTATTGTTCATGCTAACTCCTAAATGTGAAAATCAATTTAAAATTGTCATGCAGTCATTATCATTGTGGCTTTATTTAGAGTTGAAAGTAATATTCAATGGTAGAATAAATTAAAGTGCATGTACAATGTAAAAAAAAGCGTAATGACGTCCTTAGTTTTACCAATAGATTTGACTGGAATAAATTTATTTTAATGATAAAAAGGTAAAAAAGAAAATCTATATTTTTGACAGTCCTTATTTAAGAATTGACAAATTCTGATATTGAACACAATTTAAAACCAGTTAATATCAAAATATCAAGGTTAACAAAATTTTACATGCATGTATTTGATGTTTACAGAAGAAAGACATAAATATATATGTTATAAAAAAGATCATTATTGCATATTATATCTGAGCCTTCAAAAACCATCAAGACGTTTCATCTTGTCCCAAGCATCCTAGATACTTCCAGGGGTTATGCTCATTTATACTCTATGAATCCCTGGAATATGTATAATGGTAAAATTGAAGGCACAAATTAAGCTGATGATAGCCATTTGATTGGTCTCAGGTAAAAAAAACACCTGACCAATTAATTGCTTGGGTTATTCCTGCCCTTTGAAGATTACAAAGGAGCAAAACCTGATTTCAGAGTTGATCAATTTTACTGTCACGCTATTGCGCAATATTTTTGACGTACATTAATGGATCAAACTAGTCTATTTGTATTGTTCATAAAGTGGCACGTGAACAGAACCTTGGATTTTGACATGACATATTCCAGGGGTGCTGAGAGCGTAAGTGAGCGTAACCCCTTGAGCATCTTGTTAACAATATATAGTACTTAACACTTTATATCTGATTATGACATTGTACTATAGCAATCATGATCAGCAGAGACTATTTTCCAATGTTTTTAAAAAAAGAATGAACAATTTGGAATTATCGTTTGGAATATGTCTGACAGCTTGATAATGTTGCAGCAACTACATTTCTTTTTATTAAATTTTGATAAGCACCCTCTTCAGCTAATTTTTAAGAGCCCTTGTCACTCATTACAGAGAATATGACATAAATCATATAAGATTTGTAATGCATTAACCTTCGTTGTGTGACACCACAGATTCTGTTTCCATATCATCAGAATTGATTAATCCTGGCTTCCTGAGATTGTCCAGCACCGCGGAACTAGTGAACATCACATTGGTGTCGTGCCATGAAGAACGGACTGGCTCTTTGGCAGCTGTAGAAGACAAAACATTGTATTCCACAAAAATAACGGATTGTCTACATTGTACAGGGTCTGGCGACAGTATAAATATCCAATGTTGCCAAAACATGTAAAAACATAAAATCACTTAAATTGTCGGACTCTAATCTTACATTATTTGTTGTAAAAATGTTTTAAGTTTCAGTCTAGATTCAGAGATCAATACAGGAAAAGAAAGTTAGAACTTTTTTTTGTATACAGAGGGAAATATGCACTGTAGGCGAATGAACCACTGGCGTGAAGGGTGCACATGATCGCAGGCCAGAGCCAAGGGAGAGATTACGATATGAGTGGGGGCATTGATGACATCTTTGATTTTTGTTTCCCAGTGTTCATTTTATAGACGCTTTGAATCAAACAACCGATTGGCAATAGAATAAATATAATATTGTATACTGTAAACAGGGTCAGCCGTAAACAGTGTTGTACAATATCAGCCATGACATCACGAACTCAGCAGACATCAATCTGTCAAAAGGTTTAAATCGGTTGTCAGGGCGCAGAGGAAACTCTGGCTAATGCACTAGAATCTTATTCTGCTTGTCCCGCATTGGCATTAATTTTTTGTATCTATAATGTTACTGATACGCACATAAACATGTATATAGTGTAGAAGAGTGTCTGGGACCAAGTAAAGGAGGGTGGCTACAATAACAATAAATCATGTTCATGTATCAATACCTTTTTTCATCGGTATAGCCTCGTCTGTTTGCATTACGAATTTCATTCTTGGTCCTTTTGTATTCATGGATTCCTTCAATATCTCTTTATTGATGTTTGTATTGTGACACAAGGCCTGGAGATCGTCCCCGAACATCTTTGTATCAAATGTGCCCGCCCAGGTATCAACATACCGCTGGTTTGGCTGGTCGAAATCTACTGATGTAGGCCGATGTCGGCGTCTATGAACGGCTTCATGGCGGTCCATTATCTAATCTGTAATCCCAAATACTCAACGAATGGTTCAGAGGTTTTTATCTTTGTTAATGTTATAAGTTTCGTCACGAAATACGCTGATTTTCACTCGCATGTCATGGACTGTGGTGATGTTGCCACCATCTTGTTTGTTGTTACCACAGGAACTTCTGCCAGAAGTGAGTCGTGGAAACCGGGGGCACCTGTTGTCGTAAAAATTTACATAAGTCTGGGTTCCTCACCTGCCATTGCTTCATTTATTCTTTGTTTACATAAAGGTCCGGCAGTTCCCATTTTTCAACATATATTAAAAATAAGACACAATAACAGGTTAAATGTGTAAAGATACGATTTATGTTTTACTCATATCACGTACTTAGATAACTAATCTAATTCCGTGCTCATATGATTAGCCCGAGTTTCCTCTTGCCCTGACACCAGGCTTAGACATTTTGACAGAAAGATATCTGGTGTGGGTCAAAATGTCTAAGTCTGGTGTCAGGGCCAGAGGAAACTGGGCTAGCATATGATAAAATATCAAAAAGAAAAAGAAACAAGGTAAAAAAAAACCCATTAAAATGAATAGTACAACAGTTAAGATAAATAATTAATGATAATTCGAGGCTCTTATATACCGCTTTATCACATTACCTAGTTCGTAGGTCGTCTGAATTATTATCCGTGGTTATAGACCTATGCCTTTGTAATCAGCCAATATCTTTTATCAACTCCGTGGGGAGCATAGAACCGGTGGTGCCATTTCGGCTTTCACAGCCATAGCATTCTACAATTCTAGCACTACCCAACCACGTACTCATTTACAGCTGAGTAGACTGGACCAAGCAGAGTAAAGTATCTTGCTCAACGATACAACACCTTGCCGTGACGAGAGTCGAACTCGCAACCCTTCGGTCACGAGCCCGGAGTCCTACCACTATCGACTACCTTGCCTCCTTAATAATAATTAACAGTGATACCACGGAATTAGATTTTTGTTATATCAGTCCGTGGTGATACAAAATATTACCCCTATTAGTCTATCTTTTAAGCATTCTATAGGTATTTTCTTTTTGTATTATTGTTATTACTAATTTTTGACAGAACTTCAGGCTTCTGTGGTAAAAGGCACGTTTCATCTCATCTTTCATATTTTTTTATTCCTAAAAAGCATTAATTAATCAGCGTTCGTAAATTTTCCTGTATACGATAAGAATAGAAGATAAGTTATAATATCCGTAACTTTATTATGGCTATGAATATAATTCTATAATACAGCACAGCAGAGACATATACAGCCATATATACGTCTCTGAGCACAGCGATATGTTTATTTATTTTTGCTATATATGAGTCAATTACCTTTGACCCGGGTATCCATGCAATGTCTATAGAATCTCTAGAAGCCCCCACGCCCCCACGCCCCACGCCCCCACGTCCCACGCCCCCAAAATAAAATAAAAAAAATAATAAAAAAATAAAAAGCAAACAAACACATTTTGATGGGCAATATCATATGTTTCCAAAAAACAGTTATAGGCGGAACTGTAGATATCTTTGGGGAAGGAACATTCGGAGTCATAATATATATAAAAGAAATCTTCTTATTTTTACTTGTATTAGAACTACAGCTTCCACAGGCCGGGGCATACCAAAGTTCTTGAAAATAATGGTAGTTATTCCCTGCTCAAAACTGGTTCACTCGTCATGACCGGATGGAATGCCTTCGGCAAAAGTCGGCATCAGAACCGCGCTATCACAAGAAGGCAAGTACTTTAACATACCCTGTCTCCGGCACACATACACACAAGCACGCATACACAGCACAAATGGAGGCACGCCCCTAAATGATCGTAGCTGTTAATAGGACGTTTAACAAAATAAAACCAAATCTAAAAGCGAATGATGCATGTTTGTTTTTAAGACATTAATTGGACGTACATTGTATATCCTAACCCGTGTACTTGGTTAACATTGATCGCAATATATTGCGAATTGAAAAAAAAACATGCTTCCTCCTGATGCGGAAATACTTAAGATTCATTTGCCTGCATGTGTATACTAACGTACCATCCTACGATGTTATTGACGCCCGTGACGTGTACAGATACTTAGATACAGACGAAAGAGCAATATTTAATTGACAAATTACTCGGTAATCTCCGGCCGTGGGCTAATGATATAATTCCGAAACGTAATTTTATCCTTCACTGCTGTTCGTGGCGCTACGCAGATTGTAGGAAAGGGGGTCAAAACAACAACGTACGCTCTACAAAATGGACAAACAGTATACATTACCATCACTATCTCCCTTTTTGAATAAATGATACGTTTGTCTGCCACGACCGTGAAATTCGTTACACATTTCTGACGTGTCTTTAAATATGACAATTATTAATAATGGAGAATAATGGTTTTCTATTTATAAATCAATGTTGATCATAAAGATTGTGGGACGTGGGAGTGAAAACTAAAGGCTAATATGTGGAAAAATATATTGTTTTCTTCCTCTTCGTGACGTTAAATTTTATCAGTCGTTGATGTTATAAGTGATGGAATTTTGGAAGTAAACTATCCTACGATTATGGAAAAAAAACTGAACCTGAGGGTAGCGCAGATCGAAAAAGTTTGGCCTGGAGAGTTGGGGAGGGAGTTCATGTCGATTGCCGATCAAAACTATGCACAACTTCCCTGAAAATTTACTTACCTACCTACCTACTTACTTACTTATTTAGCTACCTACCTACATGTACCTATCTACTTACTTACTTATTTACTTATTTATTTATTTAGATACCTACCTACCTATCTACTTACTTATACCTTCTTACCTACCTACCTACCTACCTACCTACCTATCTACTTATTTACTTACTTACTTACTTATTTAGCTACTTAACTACCTACCAATCTACTTACTTACTTACTTCTTTAGCTACCTACCTACCTATCTACTTACTTACTTACTTACTTACTTACTTACTTACTTACTTACTTACTTACCTACTTACCTATTTACCTACCTACCTATCTACTTACTTACCTACCTACCTATCTACTTACTTACTTTCTTACCTACTTACCTACCTACTTACCTACCTACCTACCTACCTACCTACCTACCTATCTACTTACTTATACCTTCTTACCTACCTACCTACCTACGTACTTACTTACCTACCTACCTATCTACTTCCTTACTTACCTACTTACCTACTTACCTACCTACCTATCTGACTACTTACAATGTACTTACCTACCTATCTACTTACTTACTTACTTACTTACTTACTTACTTACTTACTTACTTATTAATTACTTACCTACTTACCTACCTACCTATATACTTACTTACTTACTTACTTACTTACTTACTTACTTACTTACTTATCTACTTACTTATACCTTCTTACCTACCTACCTACCTACCTACCTACCTTCCTACTACCTACTAATTACCTACCTAACTCCCTACTTACTTACTTACTTACTTACTTACTTACTTACTTACTTACTTACTTACTTACTTACTTACCTACTTACCTACCTACCTATCTACTTACTTACACCTTCTTACCTACCTAACTACCTACCTACCTTCCTACTACCTACTACCTACCTACTTCCCTATCTACTTACTTACTTACTTATTTAGCTACCTACCTACCTACCTACTTATTTACTTCTTTAGCTACCTACCTACATGTACCTAACTACTTACTTACTTACTTACCTACTTACCTACCTATCTACTTACTTACTTACCTACTTACCTACCTACCTACATATCTACTTACTTATACCTTCTTACCTACCTACCTACCTACCTACCTACCTATCTACTTACTTACTTACCTATTTATCTACCTACCTATCTACCTACCTATCTACTTACTTACTTCCTTCCTTCCTTACTTACTTACTTACTTACTTACCTATCTACTTACTTGCTTACCTATTTACCTACCTACCTATCTACCTATCTACTTACTTACCTACTTACCTACCTACCTATCTACCTACTTACTTACCTACTTACCTACCTACCTACCTATCTACTTACTTACTTACTTACTTACTTACCTACTTACCTACTTACCTACGTACCTATCTACCTACTTACTTACTTACTTACCTACCTATCTTCTTTCTTACTTACTTACTTACTTACTTACTTACTTACCTACTTACCTACCTACCTAACTACCTACCTACTCTCTGGTTACTTACCAAATTATTTACTCACTTACCTTCTTACAACGAAGTTGCAATTTTCAATACTACATGTAGTTTATTTCAGTTGCCCTTTTTCCTCGTGCACAATCATTATAGCACTGTTTAAGGATAACATCATGAAATGTTTCTGTAATCAGTGTAATATATACGTCTCTGCTGTAATGGAACTCAAGAATAAGTTCAAATAAAAATATTCTTTTGCCTGACTTATTTCATGTTGACTTGTTGACAAAGTGTTTTTTTTTTTATTGTGACGAAACTTTAAATAATGTTGTAATTTAATTGTTCATCGAGTTTCTTAGTGGTTTTTGTTAAACCATGTACATTGTACATTGACGCATTGACGCATATACATACTGTATATGCGTAATACCACGGAATTAGTTATCTAAGTCCGTGGTAAAACGTATACGTACGTACATGAATTGTACGACTCCTTATCAGCCTCATTCTCCCGCACATGTGCACGACTCTTATCAGACTCCCTCCCCCACGCATGCGCAGGTGACACATACAGACCCCTCATTGTAAGATCTGTACATTGTGCATCATGACTAACCCCGAAGTTAAGTGGTGGTTAGCTGTATCTTTTTAATCATTTTCCACGCTTTTATCATTAAACTACTGATAAAGCATTCCAGGATAAAATTATTTCGAAATTATTTTGATCTAATTTGTCACATCAAATGTCACGAACGATCCAGAAAAAAACGTTTCATATTTGAACGTTTTAACAATAACAGCAAATAAGGAAATATGGTAAATGAATACTGTTTTCCCATCTGATAATTTATTATTATCTGTGATGACTAATTCGGTATATTTTATTGTCGTACATGAGAAAAACCCACAAAATTTGAGTAAATTATCTATACATATGTATACACATACATCATCTCCTACTAATTATATCAACCATATATTTCTATATCTACAAATTATATAAACCACGCATTTATTTATTTATGCATGTACCAAGTATAACAACCACGCATTTATACTTCATCTACTAGTATTTACCTACTAGGTATTTTAGCGATACATTATACACCCTCAAACTTATATTGAACGTATAAACCACCAATGAACAATTAAGGTTTGGCGTAAGGGTGTGATTTTACTAAAACCATTTTGAAAAATGCAAGGCCAGACCGGGGTTTGAGCACAAGACCCTCGAACTCTAGACAGACGCGCTATCAATTGAGATACCTGGTCGCCGGCATGATCAGTTCCGCTTCATGTCTCCTTTCTTTTACTATTTCTACGCCACCGATGACACAATTTTTACCACCCAGCTCCGAACTCTAGACGGACGCTCTACCAATTGAGCTACCTAATCGATCGAACCAGTCCGGTTCCATAAAAATTGTAACGGAGACCATTAAAAGTCCCCCAAACCGCCCCTTAAATTAAAATGAGGTATTGGAAAGAATTTGCATATAGTTTGAACAAAATCAGACATAGAGGGGGCCGTTAGCATCACCTTGGCGTACACTCATAAATGTGTCAATCAATTAGAGGCTTGGTTTGGTTTGGTTTGGTTTAATTTGTTTAACGTCCTACTAACAACTAAGGTCATTTAATGACGTGCCTCCATGTGTGTAGTGTATGCGTGCTTGCGTGTGTGTGTGTGTGTGTGTGCATGATAGAGGGTATATTGGCGAAAGCTCAACATAAAGGCCAAGAAAGGCCACTGCAGCCATGTTTGAAAAGTGATATGAACATGAAACCCGATACGCATATCTACAAATGCCAGCATTTTTTTTATTTAAAAATATTTCATATGTCATTCAACAAAAAGGATAAGGCAAAAGTTGTCTCAATTTGAAAACGCCCTCTCCAAGCAAATGCTCATGTGACGTTTCTTTAGTATTCGGCAAGTCATCTTAGAGGAAACGTCCTCGGACCACTTGTCAAAGGAAAATAAAACGAAAATGATAATGTACTTGTACATGCATAACATATATGTAAATTGCTCACGAGGTCATTCCGATACTCGTGGTATGGATTCCGTCAGAACACATGCGGCATGGATTCCGTCGGAGCGAGAAGTTAATTTGGCGCTGTATACGACTTGTATCGGAGCAGATCTAGAGATGTCTACACTAAAAGTAGTTTCTTGACATTCGGCGCTATATCACGATGACTACAGTTTCATTGCAAAGGCGTAGGACGTTGACATCATTACAAGAACATGCAGCATAATTTTCTGTTAAGTTTTAATGATTGATAAATAAGTTTTCTACTGCATATTTTATTGAATGTTGCAAAACCGCATACAGTTTTAAACAGTACAGATGCAGAGACCGCTATATGAATGCCTATAGTTAAACAGTGTTCAGAACAATTATTTTTCTACGCATATTGGTAATAAAAAATGAGATAAACTTTTTTTTTAATTACTTTAACTACACTGAAGCCGTGATGGTACATGTATAAGATTCGATACGTATTCCGCACACGGTTGATACGGATTCCAATAAAATAAAAACTAGGACGATACAGATTCCGTTAAATTAAGTGGTTTATGCATGCTATCAATATCGAACTACGTATACATTTCTAATGATGAAGACTATATTTTAACCCCCGCGTTGCTTGCTAAGGGGAACGAAGTCGTGTGGTACTTTGTAAATAATACTGCTAGAATTACTACAACAGCCGGAGTAGATTTTTCAATACCTGAGATCTTGCCGTGTAATGAAGCTCTAAGAGACGGCAGAAATGTGTGAACATGCGCTTACTTTTTGAGTTCTCCCAACATCCTCCTTGCGGTCTAGTGGAGCTATCATGAGCCGGATAACGTAGTGTAGCTGGGCTTGTCACAAGATAAAGAGCTGTACGAGGATTACAGTGTCTAAATAATGATACAGGCTTAAGTTCATGTAAATATCAACAAACTATGGTGAAATATTTAATAAACTCAAATATAGTGTTTAGTGTAAAGTAACAGCACTATTTGTCACAGTAGAACAAAAACAACTTTCTTTTCACTGTAAAAAACTTACATCTCTATGATAAGTCAATAGTTCTGGTAAAGGTATATGCTTTAGAATGTTAACAAATGACATATGTTTCAATTCTCCCAAAATACTGGTTTTTCATACAATATCAAACATAAAGATATGGACTTTCTCTTAAAGTTTGAAGAAAACGTTCATTGGGATGAACGTAACTGTTTACTATGTGATCATCTTGTCGTGGGTGATAATTGCTATTTTGATTTGAATGCTTTTTTTCCGTAATGAAAAAAAAACTACCATATTCCTAGATATTAGCATCATATCACTTACACTTTCAAATACCGTGAACTATTTTATTTAACTAATATGAAATTGTTGAAAAATCTTTGTAACTTTCTTAAATGTGTTATGAAAACATTTAAGTTAACAAAATTGAATCCAGTACTGTCTAATATGAAGTATGTATGTTTTTCATTAATTGTTTGTAGCGATCTGATGGTATTTTGAATAAAGTTTTGATTTGTTCTATACGATATTGACGACAGAAAATAACATGTTCTAATTGTACCAGGGACCGTTACATAAGTCCCCTAACCTGACTCTGTAGTCACGGAGACTGTATAATAAAAAAATTATAGTTGCAAATGATGCATTTAAACTAATTTACAACGCTTTGATACTCTTACATACAAACTTAGATCAAAATCAGAAAAAGATATGGGCCGTTGGCATCACCTTGGCGTACACCTTGATATGTGTCAATCAATCATGACCCTGTTTGTTGACGGTCGGAATGAAATGCATACGCATATCTATACATGCCCACCAATGCACGTGCGAAGTTTCATAATCATCCATCCCGGAGTTTCATATGTATTGGGAACGTTATTAGTAGGTTTCTAGAAACGAAATCCGAATTAGGTATTTCCGCTGGAAATTCAAGAGGGGGTTTTCCTCGTTTTATCATTATGCATATACATGTGGATACAATGTAAGCATATCAAAAAAAAAAAATTGAATATATAATTTTCCGTTTAGTTCAAACATCTTTTCTTGCATAATATGTCGAGTGGTTAACACTCCGGCCTTCCAAGCAGGCGGCTGGGGTTCGATCCCAAAGTCGCCGTACGCATGGAATATTCAGAGAAAGTTTTTTTCTCCTGCCCATACAATTAACAAAGTTATTGAATCATAGGCCATCATCTTTTTTACTTCAATATAAACATTATATTTAAGTCCAACATGTTACAATAATTACAGTTCGTAGGTCTCAAAGCGTTTCACAAAATGTTATTCGTGGTTATAGGGCCTTTACAACCAGCCAATATCTTTCGCAACTCCCTGGGAGCGTACAGCCGGAGCTGCCATTTCGGCACTAACAGTTAGCATTCAACAATTCTAGCGCTACCCAACCACTTACTCATAAACAGCTGAGTAGACTGGAACAAGCGGAATAAAGTATCTTGCTCAAAGATACAACACAGTGCCGTGCCGTAACTCGAACCCGCAACCCTTCGGTCACGAGCCCGGCGTCTTACCACTAGACTATCGTGCCTCCAAAAATGATTCTTTTTATCCAGAATAGAAGCGCACAGGGTAGTCTGAATGTGGGAGGAAACCCGAGTACCTGGAGAAAACCCACCGCAGTTGGGCAGGTGACCAACTACCTTTTCACTGGCTGTCTTAGTGAAAGGCGACTGTGGGGCGCTACCCATGTTTGACGATCCGACCATTGTTGGTCCTGATCTGCACTCGAACGCAAGATCATTAAGAAGATGAGACGAGGAACCCTAATTTTCAAAATTGTTTCTCAAACTAGACTCCTATGGGACTCATACGATATAGTTCAAATAGCAATTGTTCAAAAGCCCCCTTCTTCGCTTCACCCTGTATCGGGTTATCTACCACTTCCGGTTGTTAAGTGGGATTTACGTCGTTTGAAGTAGTGGTCAACGTTTGTGGTAAAGTTATTTCCGCTGGGAATTTTACGTGGGACTCTTTCGTTGATTTAACATTTTTAATGAAGATATGGACATACTGTACATGCAAACATATCTGATAAAAGTTTGAATCATTGATCAAACATATTTCATTGTATAGTTATATAAACAGAACGCCTACGTACAGGGTGTCACAAGGTTCTTGCCTCAGGAGACATTGGAAAAACCGATGTTTGTCTGCTGACCTCATAACGACATTTGATACCGTGTTCTCTCTCTGCTACCATTTGTTTACGACTTCGTCTCCCATGGCACCCGACATCATATGCTCTCAGCTGTTTCGGGAACGTTACACACGTGCTCCGAACAAAACAAAGAAGTACGTAACTGTTTATTTGACGCCATATACTCTTGCTCTAAAAGAGTCATGGCAATATATTGTATTTGAATGAAACTAAATCCATATACAATCGATATTGAGAGCGTGAGAAGCAAACAGAAAATTGGAGATCCGCAGGTCTTGGCCCATTATATAGCGGTGTCAGACAGATAAGGCATACGTAAAGACGTTAATTGAACAGGAAGTATGTAAATTACACTTTTCAAGGTTAAAAGGATTTCGCAACTCAATGCTTTTATTGTGTACAAGGTATCAAACTAACAAACATCCGTTCCCTATACAACATTTAAATACTATAGGCTATCAAAAAGGTACACAATCGGAATGTTTCGATCGTGACACTGGCTGTCATGTTTAAAATATTTTTTTAAGGTGCGACTGTCGCTATCTGATCTACCGTGTATTGTTATCTAACTGAATACACCATAAAGGCCGTTTCTTAATCTTGAAATCGCTACCCTTAGTGAAAATCTATTATTATCTCTGCTGCAATCCTTTTAAAAAAGTGCCACCTGTATTGTCTACGTATGGCGGTAGTCCTTTTCTTAAAGGGATTGCATCAAGAATACAGTATTTTCCCTAATGTCATATTCTTTCTTTCATTCTCAATAGCTTCTTTATGTACGTACTCAGGCTAACTGTTACGATATACAAACAAAAATGTATACGATTAACAACAAAGCTTGTTACGAACAATAAGAAGGACTATGTATAAGTACGCTGTTACTTGTTTCTCAATCATCACAACCAGTTTTCTTTGTAATTGTACATGTTTAAGCGACCGGTTTAAACTGTAAAGGTATCCAGAGACGCGCATATTGTCACTTTAATGTCTGTTTCTAGCGAGGGTTTCGCTTTTTACCTAGCGTTTATAGCCCTATGTTTGTGGAAGCTTGAAGAGGAAAAGTAAATACATTTTTGACACAACATTAATGGCGGAAATGTCAGGCGTGCGATGCATGCAATGGTTTTGTATACATTTCGGACATTTTATTTGCCCTTTGTAATGTGCAAAGGGTGTATATACCAAGTAAACGTTACAGTTAAGGTTATTCAGTGACATGTTACTCTAATTTGATATACGACATTTACTTGTCTATTTCTGCACTTTAAAATATGACACACGTGCATGCCGTATTGTGTTCTTAATCCCAACGTTGACTTTACTTTATTTGTGAGCAGATTTCAGCAGTCCTGTCACCGTTTAACGTTGTGCATAATTCTGCAGAAGACTAAGGGATAACCTGTTTTGGTGCTTTAAATAATAATGCTTCCCATTACCCACTGTGAACTAACACACTGTTGATTATGCATCATGTCCCTATATTGGTGATGCAAGAACTTTATTGTCTAAGTTCTTTTTACAAAAGCTGTTCAGGAATCAATATAAATATACTTTAAACATCATTGGTAAATCAATTAAGGTTGTTTTTTTATTAGTAATTTAAATCACGTCGTTGATACAAACGCTTGATAAATGTAAACAATCTGCCCATGAGACCGGAAAACATCTTAACTTAGACAGAGAACGCTCCTTTTTCACAAAATCAGATTTATCAAGTTTGGCAATATGGATGTATTGCCGAAAATATGTATTAAATATACTACACTTGATGTTTGACATGAAATGTTCGTTGTGTATAAACATTCGTGGTTTTCGTGGTTGCTATGGAACCATGAAAATGAATACAAGTTCTAATTTAATTGATATACTTGACGACAGTTTGCTTATATGGGGTATCCACGAAAATGTGAACTATGAAATGATCTAAATAGCTTCAAATCACGAAGGTAAATACTCTCGAACATTTCATGCTACAGTATATATAATATAATGTAACATATTATAATATGATATAACTTTCGAGAGGAAATGTTGCAAATATGAATATTTAAGTTTAAGAATGTTCTCTGAATGAATTGGTTTTTTTTTAATAGCGAGGGCCTGGTCCAATTTTCCTAAAGTTATATAGAATAGCAAAATTCATTTTTATCACTGGAGTGCATTAATGATTTTAAAAAGGATTTCCTTAACTAGATACTTTGCATTTACTTTTATAATGCTTTTCTTGGGATTTTTCCTCGAATTATGGAAGTTCATAAAACTGGGGCTTGTTCCGATTTAAAGATAAGTTTACAAACCAAAAGAATAATGTAATATGTACATAAAACGTTAATTACTGGACTAAGGGTCCATACATTCCTTTAACTGGACAAACTGTCTTTAAGTGATTAGGGGGTTAGATATTTTATGAATATTCATAAGTCCAATACATGTACACATGCGAGTAGCACAATACCATACATAATGCACAACACGTACAAATATTGGAGTGTTTGAGCTATTTCGTCAGCAAGTGGAAATTGTATTCCGTCTTTGTGTATTGCAGAGTTATCTTCTCTTGGGAGCAGGTATTGATTGTTACGTCACTTGTTTGTGAGAGTAACGTCATCACTTTTTGAGAAAACGACGTAATTTTCTCGCACAAACCAATGACGTACCAATCAATACCTGCTCCAAAGAGAAGATAACTCTGCAATACGCAAAGATGGTATTGTCAACATATGCATAAACGATTTGTTTTTTTGTTGTTGTTGTGTATCTTCTATTGTCACAAAATGTAATTGTCTTATCAATAATAAGGTAGGTAAATCTACTACAAAAGGTATATCATAACCTTCTAACAACTTAACAAACGTATGGGTACTTTTTTCACTTTACCATTTGTTCAGGAAATGTACATGTTGACTGCATTACTCGATCAACATAACAAATCTGTCATGGAAACAATGCACTGCATTATTTCATCTGTTTTGGATTTGTGTAAAACACAAACCTATAACCTTTTGACAATATTTGTTTCATTTGATAGACCAAAAGTACGCATAGTTGATCTACAGATCTAAGCAATGATTTAATTCAAATAATACATTTTGTAGTTGGTTTACACGCATATACACAATTTCATTATATGATTATGATTGGATGTGCTCTTATTGAAATTAAAGCTTTTACGTACAACAACAACCAAATTTCTCAACTTCTCCGCAGTGAAAAAAATAAATAGATTCACCATTTTTCGTATTTGCCACATCTTAAAATCGTGATAAATAATAAGTTTTCAGGAAGCTAAGTGAATGATTTTTCTGTTTTTCTTCAATAAAACACGATATGTGTACAATTGACTAACGTAATATCATAATTTTATCATCCAATAAACACACGTCTAGTTATCTTCACCGATATGTCGTTTACGCGATGTCCAAGACACACATCCTGGATGATAAAGTTGCTTTCAAAGTGAGGAAATGGTTGGTTCTGCGTCGTGTAAACAGCAAAGGTTATTCAAGGACACGCATCCATGTGTACAGTGTACGAGGTGTCCAGAGATTACGCTCACATTCGATTCGCTCTCTGCCACCGCGGAATATGTCATAGCAAACCTGACCAATTGCTAAGGCTGTTACATATATCTGTCCTTTGAAGATTACAGAGAAGCGACACCCGACGACTTCAAAGCCAGACAATTTTACCGTTAAGCGACCGACAGATTATTTTGATGTAAACTAGTCTTCTCGTCTCATTCACAAATGTAGTGCACATCAAGCTTTGCTATGATATATTCTAGAGAGCGAAAGTGAGCGTAACACCTGGAGTAACAAAGATGGGGGAGGGGGGCTTGTGATAAGGATGACCAGTGGCCGCTGGAATATTTTTGAATACGTTTATGCTCAAACGTGTACCATGTTACATTTATGTATTGTACAACTTTTATTATAACAGTTTTAAAGGTTTTGATAAACAACAAGTGTACATCAGCATGGTACATTTGAAACATAAAAGTAATCAAAAGTGTCCGTCTGCTATCGAGCAGTCGTGCGTGATGATGATTTTTTTTTTTAAAAAGCAAGCGTTTGAGATGGTTTAAAAAAAATAGGAGATGATATGTTATTTTGTTTGTTTGTTTATTTTTTACGTTCTTTTAAGAGCTATGGTTATTTAAGGACGTGTCAGGTAATTATTAACATGTGAAGCAATTATTTAACTGCTTCTAAATATCTGGCAAAATATAACCTCATTAAATTAGTGTCAGAACAAACCACTTTTTGTACTATTATCTATATTAATAATTTATTACATTCAAGATTTATTACATTCATTGCTGTATGCTATACTAACCCAGATGCTTGTAATAAGTATGCCTCCCGACCGTAATTCTTATTATCGCCTTCATCATACCCGGAAGGGCGTGACGTATGTTGGAAGACAAGGAGTGGGCATCTCACTATCCTTTCGTCAATTTCCGATATGCTTTGTTTGGCGGAAAGGCCCGAGTGCACGTGGTTGTCACTTAAGTCGCGTCATAAGCAGACGAGACTCATGTATATGAATTAATCTGCATGACCAATGTGGCGAATTCTTTGCTATGATTGCTAGAACAAGTAAAATATTTATTTTTTATTTTTATCTACACGTCGTGTTTTTTAACTTTTTTCGAAAAGACTTTTCTTGTTTAAGCAAAATATTTTCATTAAAATATTCAACACATTGTTTATTCAGTTTGCACCATATTGTGAAAATCAACTGATACACGTGTATATTTACAAAGTGAAATTTACTTTATGTGCACTTGTCTGTGTATTATTATACTTATAACAAATATATTTTGGGCAATAAAATGTTCTCATTTTAATGAAAAAGCCAGTCAATAAAATCATTATCCTTGTTAATGTAATTGAAAGTTCCGTTCACCGTATTGTGGTATTGGAACGAAGCAACAAATACAACGCATAGTTTAAATTTATCTATTTGATAACAGCTCGTTGGTCGTAGCTGATATAATGTTCAGCGCACTCTCGAATAAACGGCTATTTAAACTCATTTATGTTATAGAGCAAACATATAGTGACATGTGAAATATATTTAACTCTTTTGTCACAATTTCGTCATAGATTTTATGACTCGTAGCTAAATTTACTCTTTTGATCGCGTTGCAGGAAAGTTTCAGTCATTTATTATTAGATTAGTAATATGTATAATGTTCCGCGAATTGAACACGTCGCCGACTACTTGTCCGGTCAATCTACTAATATATCAGCCTACCCTCAAACTCAGTATTATAAGTACACACACTTGCTCACTGTATATTTGATAATTTTTAATATACCTTTCTTTCACTTAAATAACAGAAACGACGTCATTCCAAAATCCATATCCTACAAATGTTCTGTTCAGCGTCACTCCTGCTCGGGATATCCTCTCTTGCTTTAAGTAGCAGTACTAGTACTAGTATATATGTGTATGTGTGTGTGTGTGTAACAAAGATTACGTGATGAAATGTAGATATATTTAGAAAGCACTATATGGGAATTTAACAGATGCAATTCTTTTACACTTGAAATAAACAACACGAACTTATAATCGTGAAGCCCTTTACAATTATAAACAATGCGCGATGTCAATTTAGTTTGAGTATTTATACGGTAACGCCAAATACATATTTTTTGTTGAGTTGTAAGCCTATTTTTATAAGCAATCAAGAGAATAAGAATCGAAAATCAAAGGAAAACATAATTAACGTTAAACTACTAATTACCGACAAAATTATATTTTGTTTTAGATTAAGTTTTAATTAGACATTTTGTTTTAAATGATAAAACCTTTTGCTATGCACTAGAAAACGTATTATTAGCATGTGGATGGTGGCTGTATAGTACTCTCATATACATCTGTTACGCTGTTGTAGTGTAGAGTATCCCTTACTGTGAATACAGAGGGTGTGCGTGAGTGACTCTGTTGTAACATGTCTGTGCGTAAATTTCACAATTCACAGAAATAGGTTATGTTTTGTGGAAATTTCGAAATCACAACTTCCGCTTGTGACCTATATAAGAGGGTAGCTGATCCGTGTAAAAACAGATCTCTTCTAGTTGCCAAAAAGAAGAGTTGTCAGAGATCAGCGAAGCACCTGGTAAGATATACAGTAATTTTGCCATATGTAACTTTTCTTTTTTGTCTATGAACTATTTCTTTTATTTCATTTAGCGAACATCCATAGTTGTCTTTTTTAGGTTTTTTTTTATTAGTTCATTGTTATTTTTCGTTTTAGTTTACTTTATAATTAGGACTTTAACACATCATAGTTATTGCATATCTTTGTAAAGTCTTTACTCTAAAACAAATTTATAACGCATTGCTATATTTGGTACCAAAATCACGTTTCCTTCAATCAAATAGTTAATAAGGACCTATATAGTTTTATGAATCGGCTGCGACATTCATTCACTACTAATACAGAGTAATAAGCGTAGTTTTTCGATGATGTTGGTTTCGCTCAAATTGTTGCGTTTGTTTTCGATTATAATTTCAAGGATAAAATGTTACCAGTATTTTATTCGTAGTCAACATCGCTTTTTCGTCCAGTCTTACATCTGGGCCAACAAGAGTGATTAATTTAAGTTGGTAGGACTTGTTTCATAATTGTTATAAAATAAATAAAGTTTGTTATTTCGATTTTATTAACGCTGCATTTAATTTTTGTGACTGAGTAGAGATTTGTAAGAAGGTGGGACAGGCTTAACGTAAATGTTTTAACAAAAGAAACACGATTGCACAGAGACTGAGTGCCTAGTCCCACTTGATTTCCAAACTGTGGTAATTTATTTACATGTGAAAATAATTATAGTCATATTCCAAAAAAAAGAGAATACTGATTATTAAATAACTTAATGGTAGCATAAAATGTGTCATAGATAGACGGAATCTACAAAGCATCATGCATGTATTTACTTATAAGTCTGTTCTAAAATTGTTAACTATACAAAGTAGTGTCAATTTAAAACTAGATATATTCCAGATATTCAGTTATTTTAAAATACACCAGATATATTAAAAATACTCTTTGTGATGACGACTGCAAATAAATATTACAAAACATTATAAATAATTGTGGGCTTTTTGTGAAAGAATCATCGAAGGATAATCACACACTTCCTCGTAATGAAGCTTTTAAAAAAATGCCGTCATGTCAAAACATTTTCGCTACTGTGAATGCGCATACAGATAATGCAATTTGTAGGTTAAATTAACGATACCAATTTAGATAGATCATGACACGTATTAACTGCTCGTTCTGGGAGGTTATATGATGAATTCTTCAATTCCCATCAGAATACATATATGACTATTAAACAGCAATATAATTTTGTCATTTCGGTAAATTCTCACTGATTTAGACGGTGTTATATATGATATTACCAATAGGCAGCTCTTGATAGTTAATTGAGCAAGTGAATTGCTGTCATTATGAATAATTGTAACAGCCATCTAATGGGGTATAAATTGTTTTACTGTTGTAGATTCATCCACTCGTCCCGTTATACACCAAGCCGAGGGTAACACAGCACGATGGACCATAAACTACTTCTAGTTATGGGTAAGTACATATAAGTTTATATATTTCTATGTGCAATTCAAAGATTAAATCCTGTTCTGTTTAGGTTTATTGGACATCATTATAAACCTCCATGGCACTTGAGACAAATTGTATCAAGTTTGTCTCGAGACCCATTGAGGGTTATCATCCAATCAAACTTAACAGATATACTCAGTGCGATTTTTTATGTTCTTCTGATTATTTCTAAAATATCGGACTTGTGCAAGGATTGAAACCACGAAAGGTCCGAAAGAAAGTCATGTTATTTTGTATTGATCACCATGATTAAATAGCATAACATCTTAATACATGTATACTTCAATCAAAAACTACTGAAAACAAATAAAATGTTACTGGGACTACTTCTCCCGCTAACTTGCTGACATATTCATATTCCAATTGGATAATTTATGGATAAATGAACTGCAAACTCCATAAAAGTTAAATTGAGTTCCAAGGTCAGTAGAAATGTAAAGAGAAATGTATGGAATACGTTAACCTAGTCATCACTTATCCATCCAGATTTTTTGGAGTTTAAAGAGTGATAACTGTTTTCTGTGCTAAACTTACTTCTCATAATTCAACTATTTTTTGTTAGGAAGGACGCTTGCGAATCAACGAGTCCTAACATTGTTGATGATAAAATCATATAATGTAAAGTAGAAAGTTCTTCTGAAATATTTCCTCACATTCTTTTTTTACTATCTATCTCTATGCGTCTATTAGGTTAATGACAGAAAGATAAATGTGGATTTTCTATGTACGTCTTTGTGGTATTTTTTACTCTTTTGATCCATTATAAATACATATTTGTTTTCATGATACAGTATCATGGATAAGGGTAAGGTGATGATGGTGGGGATAGAAGTTGGAAGGGATATATTAAGTTAAGGAGAGGTCATTATCGATTATTTATTCAGAGATGTACATTAATAAATATAAATAACGTGGATGTTATTTGTGGCATCACCGTTCGTCTTGTGCATTGGTGTTTGGGAACTTTTAAGGTTCTATCTGTATTTTCGGGAATGTTGACGCTGCTGATTGCAGCTATTTTCTTATTATGTTTTCAAACAAAGTAACATTTGCGTTTTACAGTTGCCATGGTGGGATTGCACCAAGCTTTGGCAGCCCGAAAGGTTGACGCAAAAGAACGAGCGTCTCACAGTATCCGAAAGAGGTCCCTTCGGGATGACATGTACGAACGCTCGGAGGAACTGAAAGACTTCACGGTCGATGAGCTACTAGGTCTCAGCGCAGGAGAGAGTATGAGTTCAACACGTGAAGTTAAATCTGCACAAGGAACTACAGTACGTAGACTTCAGGAAACATACCTCGGGGTACCTATTTACGACGCCGTTGTGTCAGTTGAGATAGACGAGGAGGGCAAGTTGACAGGAGAAGCGTCCGGTATTTTCGTCCAGGATATTGAAGACGACTTGGATTCAGTCGAACCTCTCTTATCCAGAGCTGCTGCTCTTGATATGCTGATGGAAGAGGAAGGTGATGAAAGCTACAGAAGAGACATCACTCGCCATTCAACCAACCACTATGTTTACCTTGGAGAAGATTCAGATAGGGCTCGTTCTATCTATCTTGTATCGTACGTCTTGGTAAGAAAAGATATTGCACCAAAACGTCCTGTTATGATTGTTGATACCAGATCCGGCGAAATCTTGCGACGATGGGACAATCTGGAAACATGGGATTGTGGCGGTAGTAGGAGAATATACAAAGGTATCGGAGGTAATGCAAAAATGGGCAAGATCATGTACGGAGATTCTCCATTCTGTCTAGCTCCCACTATTGTTGGAGACGATTGCGTTCTTGAGAACCAGTATGTTCGTATTATTGACATGCAACAATCAACCGATGACTCCAGAAACGACACAGCGAGGTTCAGATGTAAGAATGGATACAACGATGAGGTCAACGGTGCTTATTCCCCTGCCTTAGACGCATTTTTTGCAGGAACAGCCGTCGGTATGATGTTTGAGGAATGGTTTCATACAACACCGTTAAACTCCAAACCTGTTCTTCGCGTCCATTACGGAAATGGGATGGACAATGCATTTTGGGATGGTAATTATTGCAGTTTTGGAGACGGCTCTTCAACCTTCTATCCTCTTACGAGTTTCGATGTCGTTGGTCACGAGATTGGACATGGTGTCACCGAGCAAAGTTCTGGACTAGAATATCATAACGAGATGGGTGGACTCAACGAAGCTTTCTCGGACATTTTAGGAGAGGCCACTGAGGAATACATCGACTCAAGAAGTGATATGTTCGTTGGTTTGGATATCAACAAAGGCGAAATCATGCGGCATTTCAGAGAACCGGAACTTGACGGTAGCTCCCCAGGTAATGTGGACGGATACCATTCAGGAATGGATCCTCATTACTCAAGCGGGGTTTTCAGGAGGATGTTTTACGTCATCATCAAACAGAAGGGAGGAGTGATTCGACCAGTTATGCATACCTTGTTGCACGCTAACCGTATGTATTGGCGAAGCATGACAGGATTCCAGGAGGCAGGTTGTGGTGTACTAAAATCTGCTTACGATCTCGGACAAAACCCTACTCCATACCTTCGGGCATTGAATGATGTTGGAATCAACCCGTGTGATGTTTCCCTACATATCCGTCGTCTCCGGTCTAACAATGAACTTTCTGGACTCACAATTACTCCTGAAATAAGCCCTCTGTTTGGTTACGAGGTGCCTAGCTCAACCTCAAGTGTGAACATCGCAGCCGTGCATTCATATGACGTTAAAATCACTGTAAGAGTGGGAACGTGGGAGAACGACGAGCAAGCACGAAGTCGACTCGAGCTTTACGCGGACGGGTTCAACCGACTAAGAGTGGATGGAGTAAACAGTGGCGATGTCCTTTACATCGAATTGTCGACCCAAGGCGACAGTGAGCTTACTGGGGTAACTGTTTCCGCATCGCCCGAGACCAACTCCAGGCGGGACTCTGATATGTCGACGGCGTATTGGGCTAAGGTGTTCGCAAAGGCACGATCTCTATAGAAACAGTTTAAAATTTAAAATGACATTTTTCTCCTTCCTGTTCATAATATAAGATATTTTGTTGAATTGTTATAAACATATTTCATAAGTATACCACTTGTACACATTCTACACGTACATCATTCCTCATCAAGAATATTCTTTGATTTTGTATTACCTACGAATCTCCATTTTTAAATATATTATTTGTACTGCAATGGGTACACATCGTGAGTGCAACTATTAATGTGAAGCATTTTACAACTTTTTTTATTAAAACAATTAAGAAATCAATTGCTGTCTATGTTATTTGTATAAGCTTTTTGTATTTACATACAGTATTAGTCAATATGGTACAAAAGAAACTGAATACAAATCAATTTCTTAGTGTTTTTGGTCATGGCAACTTCAAAAATGCCGTTAAAGAGTTTTTACGGATTTACTGTATTATCCATCTAAAATAGTATATCATCGGCATGATCACGTGACATCACAGTTGGTCACATACCCTTACTAACCAAAAATGGCTTTGAAAAAATGCCGAAAGGGAAGAGAAGATTAGGCAGAAAGAGAAATCAAAACGTTGTAACAGTAACGGGAGATGAATGGAAAATATCAAGATCCCAAGTAATTGTCATTTGCTAAAATATCTATTTTAGCAGTTGGAGGTTTAGTAAATTAAATGTCATTTTACCATGCCACTAGCACTGGAGACATTTGACAGACGCTAAAACACTGAGTATCAGTTTACTCTGCCAGAAAATATGTGACATTTTGACAGTGAGAAACTTAACTGACATGTTTAGGTGATACGATGTGTTGGTAATATGAACTAAAACAAAACCTGCTTCTAACTGTCAAAATTAATTTGAACCTTTAGTTGATTAACCTTCTTACTGTCAAAAATCGATCTGATAGTAAAGTTTATTTACATTCTTACTGTCAACATGGATTTGATAGTAAAGTTGTTTTACGTTCTTTTACTGTCAACATGGAATTATTTATTATTATTTTTTATCTTCTTACTGTCAAAATGAATTTGATAGTAACGTGTCTGACCTTCAGACAATAATGATTTCTGAATCGACCAAATTACCATATGGTGCAACAAAATCGTTTTACCTTCTTACTGTCAAAATTGAATTTGATAGTTAAGTTCTCTTACCTTGTTACTTTCAAAAAATAATATGAAAGGTAAGTGTCTGCCATTTAGACAATAATGATTCATGAGTCGACCAAATTACCATTTGGTGCAATGAAATGTTTATTTTGTTTGACTTTTTTTCGCATCGACACCCTAAATTTAGAAAATTGCTTCGTTATTTCCTATTACAAGGTGTTGTCTTCTAGTGCGTCTGATTCGTATGAAGACATTACAGGACCGACGGACAAAACTTAACATTTCCGTGAAACACATCTTTGATTTTGACAAAGCATTTCCCCTTGTTCTCTTCTGAGTTTGACACGTAGTGAATGTCACTTTTTTTCTAAAAAATGTTGTAGGATTATTGATGAAGATTCTCTTCGTATTTTGTGTACAATAAACACTGTATTCTCATGGAAGAGGGAGATATGGAGGTTTGTTTCCTTCGGTAAGCTATGTTTCCCTAGGGATAGGACTTTTGGAGATATGACTCCACTCAGGAATCAAAGCCTCATATCTTCCTACTACCTTTACAATAACTGTGCAATATCTCGCAAAAATGAAATATGTTGTATATTTATAATTACCTGGACTTTTTTCGTTGAGAGGTAATTTAATTTGCGTTCCGTCAAAGTAATGCATCAAAAGAGTATCATTAAAAAAGCAGAAATTTTCTAAAACTTGTTTTTGTTTTTAAAATTTAAAAGAAGTATCAGATGTAATTATTGGTAAATGTATTTTCTTTTATCTTTTGTGCAGTGAAATCTGTATAACTTTAAATTGTTCAAATATAACTTTCAATTGTTCAAATCTAACTTTCAATTGTTCGATTATGCTACATATGCCACTGTTAAAAACGTTATTGGCCTTAATATTACACAGTTCACAATTATGGATGCTTTCATTAAAAAAAAAACATTATATCATATTGGAATCTATAGGGTTAGCTTTTTCTACGTTGCGACAGTTAGTTGTTTTCCGTAAAACATAATTATTATAAGTATTACTCCACCAATAGTTTGAGAATTTCCCTTAACACAAATGTTGAGTGTATACTTTACCACAAAAGTTGAGTATTTACCTTACCCCAAAAATTGGGTATTTCATTTAACACAAATGTTGAGTATTTCCATTACCACGACAAAATGTGTTTTCCTTCCAAAAGAAGATTATTATTATTTTTTATTACAACTGCTTATCGATCTTTTTAAAATAAAATGAAACAGTTACATCTGAGACGAATGCTAAACACTTCTGTCACCAAGAATATTACGTTTTACCGTCACCAGACTACTAGAATAACATTATAGAGATACACTAGTCTATCTTCAAAATCGTTTCTTTTTTAATTTCATCGTCGTATTTTTTAAATATTAATACTCAAAGAACTATCTGAATAAATATAAGTTTGAATAACTTAAAACACTGAAAATTGACCTTCGTGCCATATTAGTTGGTAAAGTGATGTTTCAATATTTAATCCGATTCAAAATTATGAATTTGTAATATTGATCAAAATGTTAATATATTATTGATTGAAAGCTAGTCAAACTTTTGACGAATTGTTTGAAATATTTTATATATATTGACTGTAAAGTGAATAATTGTGGATAGATTAGGAAATATATTCTGAAATATTATATAACAAATTGTAATGGTAATGTGATATTTTTTCGTCCAGAACAAAACAAAAATTCAGTTGTGTGTTCTTGAATTGGAAAAATCTCAATGAATATGAAACGTATGATACATACTAGTTAATAGACATATTTTCAGAAGTTTTACATTTCATTTTCACCTAACGCGAAAATCGCGAAAACCTATTCACAGTTAGCCTATTATTACCCCTTGTACAGAATACGTATTTGTGACTCACTATAAGTATTCATGTATCACTAGAACTATTTCTATAAAACAAAGTTTCAAACACGATAATCATGATATCTACGTTTTACATAATTACTAGCTTTATTAAAACATCTGCTACCATGGTCGCTTGCAAAAGCATTGTTATCTTAACTAGTTATGAACTCGTTTTCTATTTCCTTTCTTCTATTTATTATTTTTTTTTTTCCAATTAAGCTTGATGATATGTCTTATATATTTGTGGTAGTTTAAATCCATGCAAATGAAATTAAGAGTTTTATTTTTTAGGAGGTGACTGAAACATCACACTTCAAAAATATTAACAAAACTTTCCTTTGGATAAATAACATTTTAATAGATCCCAGTATTATACTTAACATTATTCAATGGGATAAAACCTAATGTAACCATAAGTTGTTGCAAAACAAATGTAAAAATAATGAAGAAAAAAGTACGTTTTGGAAATCGTTTTGAAAGACAGATAACACGAAATCTCATTTTGAAGCTTGAAATATTTAATGATTTATTTTAGAAGGCGATAGTGTTATTCTACTTACTACAAATCATGACAAATTTGTATAAAAAATAGTTTTACACGCCAGTTATGATTTATCAAATGTATAATATGCTGACTGTTGACGTCCTGTTCAAATTACAATACAGTAACACGATTTCGTTTTTGCTATAATTGCTCCACACGAGCATTTGTGTATCTCGTGCAGATATTCTTCATACATGACGTGTTCATTAATCTAATTTGTAGGAATGCATTAATATATAATTATGGATTGAATGATACACATTATCTAAAGTGATGAGATAGCTATATAATTGGATAATTCAATAAATATTTCGATGCCTGTCTGAATCATGTCAGCGACCATTGCAGTAATTGCTGTTAAGTTTAAGTAAATGTCATTTACACAACGCGACCTTAACTAAATACCATACTACTAGAAATACTCAAACAGGAGTAACTCATTAGATTAAGTACGGACATGGTAATGCCTATTTTGTTACCAGAATCTAGTAGCATGTATCTCCATTTTTTTTTCTAAATTAAATTTATCTCAAGTTTAGTTTCTTTAATTTTGTGAGACCCTTACTTAAGATAAATTGCACATGTATTGCTACGTATTAATTTAATCTAATCTACAAATCAGCAGTTTTGATACAGCGTCTGTACCACAACAGGAAAGCGCGATAGTCATGCAAAGCGATAAATTTTTTCATACCTAGTGTTTTCTATCGGTGAATCTGCATTCTACTTATAAAAATAACATGATACTGTCACCATCGCAACCTGGAGACTAAGTATGATATTTCGGTTTTTATAATAATGAAAAGACACGTCCAATGCACCCAAGATTGTGACCGATATGCCTTTCCTGAATTAAGCACCAAGTCATCATTGCTGATGCCATACGTGGTCCAAAATACGCTTCCCCTTCCAGGACACGTTTTGTTTTCGTCCAGTATATGTTACTTTTTTGCCAGCTTCCGCACAATGTTTATTTCAATTGATTAGCTATCCGACAGTGTAAGTGTTTAGTAACAATTTACGAGGGAAAAAATTGTCATAAATTCTTCGCTATCTGGTTTATTCTTAAATCGATATACATATGGAAAAAAACTATTTTCTGCGTATCAAACAATACATGCTTTAACAGGAGAATATTCGTGCATCATGATAAACGTTAGATAAAAACGCAAAATATTGTGAGATATTGCATTTAATAACATTATCATTGAAATACAGATTCTAAATATTTTTTGCGTCATATGAAACCGAGCCGCATACGAACATGCTACATATTTTTTAGAAGACAAAGGTACATTTTGAAGAAAATGTTTTAGCAACTCAGTTGCATATCATCGTAACAGTTAAAAATATGCATAGCCAAACAAAACCACAAAATAAACATTAATATTTTGGATTTTTTTTGTTGATTCCTGCTGCAATTTAAACACAGTGTTAACCGAATGATGATATAACATTTTTTGCTGAAAACACAAACTTTCATTTGTTTATTATTATTCTAATTTATTTTGAATTTTTATTTCATTTCTTTTAATTTATTTTCGTTCTTTATTTAGTTTTATGTCTGGCAAGCATCGAAACATCAAAAGAAAACCCTACGGACTTTCACTTCAAAGTTCTGCCTTTGTTGGACCTTGAAATTAATAACGGAATGATCGTAATAGTATACTTTTGAAAACATTCATACATCTCAGCCTTTTTAAATTCAGGAATCTTCACCTTTGAAATAAGGACGATGATTATTAATAATAATTGTACTCTAAACCAGTATTGCAAATACAAGAAGAGGCCAATATCCTATTGGTTAAAATCATTAGAATGTAAAAACGAAATCCAGAAAAATCACTAACAAGACCTATCAACCTAGGAACGAAGACGAAAGATGAAGAGATAATAAGGCTGAAGGCCCTGTCACACTATAGCGTTTTGTTGGACGTTTGGTTGTGAAGGACCAAGCAGGTGCTCACTATCAGCTTGACAGTCTCTGGCTTGTGCTGCATAGTGCCCAGAATCACCTGGAACCTGTTGGCAAGGATCCCAAAGGCGTTCTCCACGACTCTCCTGGCTCTCGACAGTCTGTAGTCGTAGATGCGCTCCTCCTGTGATACACCACGGAGACTGTAAGGCTTCATCATGTAGTATCTCAGGGCAAAGGCGTCATCTCCAATGTAGAAGTATGGAACATTTGTAGTGTTTTGTGGGAGAGGTGTAGGCTGTGGAAACCCAAGCAGGTCTTCTTCAGCTCCATGTTTCAGCTCACTGGAGTTGTAGATCTGGGCATCGGATGCTGATCCCAGGCCTCCAAGATCTGCCCACACGAACTTGTAGTCAGAACTCACAAGGGCCAGCAACACGATGGAAAAGAACCCCTTGTAGTTGTAGTACAAGGAGCCACTGTTTGGAGGACACCTAATGGCCACATGCTTGCCATCTAGAGCTCCCAGAACTTGGGGGAAGTTCCACCTCTGATAGAATCTGTCAGCAACTTTCTTCCACTCTTCTGGCGTACTAGGGCAGGTCAGCATCTCATCCAAGTACCCGTCCAGTATGGCATGGCAAACCTCTCTGACCACCAGTGACTGTGTGTTGTGAGGTACTCTCCAGCCAAACTTCTGCGAGGCATAGCTGTCACCAGAGGCAAGGTGTCGCAAAATCAGGGCCAGCTTCATACCAGGGTCGACGGCCGGTCTAAAGCGAGTGTCCTTCTTGGTGATCCTGGGACCAACTCTCTGTCTCAGCTCATCAAACATCTCTGGTGACATGCGCAGGAAGTTGTGGAAGGAGGCTTGGTCTTCAGCCCTGAGTTCAGCCATCAGCTTGTCGTAAACACCACACTGGGGTCGCCTTCCTATCCAGGGTCTCACCCACCACTTTCTCCCTCTCCTCTTCCTTTTCTTCTTAGACTCTGCCTTCGACATCTTGACCTGGTGCAATGCCAACTGCAGTAGGTTGTTGTGATGCATGAGAGCAGCAACAGCATACTGGTGTTTCTCTTGGTCTGTTATTCTTCACTCTGTGAAAGTTCCAACAGGACTGGCGGTGGCCTCTGCAAGCCCCTTATAAATGGCAAGTGGCTGCCAAACGCTCCTGAACGCTACCAGTAGGTTACAGGCGCGTTACAAGGACGTTACACGGACGTTACACAGACACTGGAAAAATTCAGACCGCTGACAGACGTTAGGAAGACGTTGAAAGAGCGTTACATGAGCGTTAATAACGCTCGGCGAACGATTGACGAACGCTGAGAAACGTTGGCGACACGCTGGACAGACGTTCGACGGACGTTACACATGCGTTACGCAAGCGTAACCCAAGCGCTAGCCACGCACTGGACACTCGACCCTGATGGGCCGGCGTCCGCCTAGCGAGTAATGCCCGTCAACTTTCGTGTAACGTTCCTCTAACGCGTAAGTAGCGTTTTGATAGAACGTCGTGAATTTTTGTGCACACCCAAAAATATTTTTCACCCTCAGCGTTCGCCGACGTCCCTCGACGTTCCCCAACGTTTGCCGACGCTCGTCTAACTTTCTTGTAACTTCTTTCTAGCGTTCTCGACGTTCCTCTGCGTTTCGCAACACGTTACTCGAACGCTGGTGAGAACGTCGTAGTGTGACAGGGCCAATAAGTCGATATTAATTTCATTAAAAACGCTGATAAAATGAGCTAGGAACACATGCCGTATTCATTTATTAAAATTTCTATGTTTCCCCCTATACGAGTACACACTATTTTATTTACCGGATCGTGTGGATGATGATGTTAATTCAAAATACGAGACTAGAGGGTTTAATATCATTTCATTTTTATGTGGGATTTTTTTTATTAAGAACGACAGATAAAGCCCTGACAATTGTCATAAATTTACATTTTGACATAATTTCGCGCTGTTAATATTCTGTTCAAAAATAGAAGTGAGAAGTACCAGCTGTATTAGGTGTACGATGTTACAGCTGGAGTACATTGACATTCTAGTTTCATTAAACAGGTATTTTTTTTAAATTTTAGAGCACTTTATTCAAATACTATTCTCGTTGCCTCATCAGATATTTATTTCTAGCTTATTTGCATGCTTATACTTATTAATTGATGTCAGTAAGTTTTAAAAGTAAAGAAAACCCTCTAAGTTCCTTCTAACAATGTTAAATCGTATATCATTAAGCTCCTTCTAACAATGGTAAATAGAATATCTGTATGCTCCTTCTACCGATGGTTAATCGTATATCTATAAATTCCTTCTATTTACGGTAATCGTATATCTGTAAGCTTCTTATACCAATGGTTAAATCGTACATATGTAAGCTCCTTCTAACAATGGTTAACACATATATGTAAGCTCCTTATTTCAATGGAAAATCGTATGCCTATAGGCTCCTTCTACCGATGGTAAATAGTATATCTGTCAGTTCTGTTTATCAATGGTAAATTGTGTATCTGTAAGCTCTTTTTAACAATGGAAAATAGTATATATGTAAGCTCCTTGTTTCAATTATCCGTAGTGTGTTCTGTTTGGCCATTGACATATTGAATATACGACCTTGCTACGACGTTTCACCCCATTTTTGTGCAAAGTCATATATTTTGTGCTGATACTAATAAAAATAAAGGTCATGATGTTTAGCGGAAAATACGATTCCCTGATATTAGCATACAGTCTGCACTTATTGTGGATTGAAACTCACTAATCTGGTATATTGCATTCATTGTTTATCCATCCACTTGGCAAAACTAGGGCGAGTCAATCATATTATAAAATAAAATGCCGTCAGTAAAAGCCTTTATTACAGGACCGATATCATTAACAATGTCATTATATGAATTAAAGACGTCAGAGGCCCCAATATTGTGACGACTTACGGAATCCACGCCTTGATACAGTTGATGATAAATCTTTGCTTGCCATTTATCAAGTAGGTTGTACACCATTCAGCCAAATTTTATATAAGCAAGTACAACGAATATTGTGAACATTGTGCCACAACAACTGGTCATACAAACAAACAAAATTAGTATGTTTATAACCACAAAGAATCACTATACAAATCGGACATATTTCAAAACCGGATACCGGGAAACCTGGATCCTTTGAAATTTTCACTTTCGCCGGTGTAAGCCATATCCCGCCATAACCGGAGTAGCCGGAGAAAACTCACGTGATTGGTCAGGTGACCCCCATATCTTTTGTCGTACGATCGGGATTCGAATCCTTGTCAACTTGATGACAGGCGAGTGCGTTACCCACTGCGCCACCCGACCACCCTAATTTCTCTGTTTACGTTTAATTACTTTGTTTTTTTATGTTGTGTACAAATATGAACTGTATGAAACGGAGGGCGAAAAAGGCAAAATTAGATTTTTGGCGAAAATTCTCTGGTATACAATACTCGTTATCAAATTGTTAAAGTAAGTGTAGTCTCAGTCAAACATTTAGATAAAAACTGGAAAAGATCCAAGCTTTATACTTTTCAAAATCGTTAATTAGAATCTTCAAAGTAAGATAAAAGATATCCTGAAATGGAAAATAAAAGACACATTACTTTTGCGAAGTTCACTGTTTAAATAAACAATGTATACTGTGTTTCCCGCTCTTTTATATACGTCGTTGAAATTGATTGTTATCTTACCAGATGTAGCTTTACAGTGGGTGGTCGGATGGCGCCGAGGATAGTGCACTTAACTTTCACCAAGGCGGCCGGGATTCGATTCCCCGGTCGGACGGGGAAAGGTAAGGGGTCACTTGCACGACCACATGGGTTTTCTCCGAGTACTCCGGTTTCCTCCAATACTAAGACCTCCCGTGCGTTAACATCCGAAGCAACAAGAGTGATTCATATCAGTTGAAAAAACTTGTTTCATTATTATTGTGAAATAAATTGAGTTTATTATATATTGACAATATTATAAGGAAAACAAACAATTTCATTTGTATTGCACATTTAATTGTCGTATTTGGTAAATAGTGAATAGCAAATAAAACACAACAAACTGTCGCCATTTTAAAATAGCATCTCACATACCTTATCTAAGCCCATATATCACATTAAGTACACTCTCGCAATAACATAGAGTTTTTTTTATCTCCATATCGATCTTAGAGCCAGTTATATCAAGCATCCTAAATTTGATATAATGATTCATATTAACTTCAATCATTTCTCATCATCCGATATACTCATATGTTTTACTATTTCAAGTCCATTTTACTAAAATACAGCAACAAATGGAAAAAATAAAAATAAATATATATTCTGTTTGTTTGGTTTGTAATAATTGAATCAGTATGTTCTTCTACATCTATAACATTAATTAATCCCCATAGCAAATGGGATTCATAATTAATAACATATACAGTGGGTTTATACACTCAGCAGGTCTTTTGATAAATAATTATACACAGCTGTTTAATATCGATAAAATGCAACAGAATATAGACAAGATTTAATATAAATCAATGATAATTATCACCAACACCTCTCTGAATGAAAGTATGTAACATTAAAGCACCTCACATTAACATACATTAGCGACTAACATGCTCCACACAATACAATAGAGTAGTAGCACACGCTTACACAGGTGTACCTTATTTTTCAAGTTCCGCGTTTTAAAGGTAAATTATATAACTACAAAAGATAATTCAAAAAGAAAAGTTCCGTTTTAAAGTTTGTACATTTCGTCTTGGTTTATTCTTCCTTATAAATACAAGATAAAGAACAACATGAATTTAAGATGTGTTTTTGGTTAATTTCTTTGGCAAGACATAATCATCCTTTATGTTGCTACCGTGCAATAACAGTTCTTGAATAACAACTTTAAATATCAGATTTCTGGACAGCTACCACGTTCGACCCTGCAAATGTTTTTTTCCCCATATAATTGAACTTTGAACAATTGTCATAATTAAAATGCGTTGCAGGATGTGTTTTATTAGGCATACATCTGTAATAAATGTGACAATGGTGATGATTACCTTGGTTGTGTTGCGTTATCGACTCGAATAGAAAGTATCTAGTTATGATATTGGAAAACACCTTAGACAATTGTTATGGGTGGTAGAGTAGCACAGTGGATACCAAACTCGCCTTCCATAAAGACAGGTCCGAATCGATTTATTCATCGAATCTGAAAAGGTATTAGGTCACCTGCCCGATCACGTGGCTTTTTCCTCGGGCTCTTTGCTTTCCACTTCATTAATAAAAGTGAGTATTATATGTTGATGGAACCTGTTTCATAATTATAACAGACAAAAATAAATTTGAATTTAATTCAAGGCCTTATTGTTTTTCATTTTTAAGTTTTTGCAGTATTGCTCATTTTTCTATCTAACTCTCCTCGAACATCGCAATATGTAAATGATTAGCAGTATACCAAAGCCCGCCAGCTCGACATTTAACAGCAATATCTTCGTCTATTCAGAATATGACCCAAAACATTTACACAATGCATCTCTACATAGACACAATCACATCAATATAAATATAGTACAACTAGCTTTAATCTTTCGATAAAACATACTTGACGTTGGCTTTAGCATAAGACTGTATAAAGTGAATGGCTGTTAATTCCATTCAAAATTAACACTCAGAAATGTTTTTGTTTATAAAATAAAGTATCTCCCGGAACAAAACCCCATTTCTTCAGGGGGGGTTTCCAGAAGATTTTGGTTTCACTGAAGTCCAGTGTAAAACAATTTTTACAATACTACAGTAGCTCATACATAACTTACTAGATAGCACAATGTGCGATGTCATCACGATCGCAACGTAAGGGTCAACAACTCTGTTTATAACATATATTTAAAATCATGAGTCAAACACTTAATATACATCATTAAAACATGTTTTAACACATAAACATAGTACACATCACATCTATAGCGCTACAGCTTTACATAAAATGTAAAATTAATGCTACAGGTGGTAAGATACATTTCTTCGAAAGTCAACAAATGAATAATTTTTAAATCAGATATGCAATATATTATCAAACGATCAAATAAAATGGCGGCAACAAACATATGTTTTTAATAAATGTTTTTTCGATTCAATAATAAAAGACACTAAAGCTGGTACCAGAACAAACCCATGTTTATGAATAAGAAAAATAGCACACAATCTTGTTAGAATATTTTAGTACAGCTGCATTTTTACAATGCTTTCGCCATTGTTTATTGCACATGTTTAAATGGCGGGAACGGGTTTGCACAAACCTATAGGTCGGTATATGTAGTGCACAAAGAATAATGATGTGCATACAAACAACAGTATAATAATACCGTTAGAGCTAATGTTCAACGTCACATTTTCGGAAGCGTTCAACATTGATGCGGTTCTAACTTTAAGTGAACATCGAGATACTCTAGTACTCGAGAAGGGTGATCGAAATATCAAATGTTGTGCACATCAGTTTGACTGAATAATTGTTATGGTTTCAATGATCAAGTGGTCTGAACACGGTTCATACAAAACGTTGCACCGTATGACGTTCCACTCGTACAGTACTTATGGGTTGATACGGTAGTATGATGCTGCCTTCTAGTTATCTGAAAAATTCCCAGCACAACCTCGACCTTTATTGGACCTTGTTATCTCTTCACAATACCTTTACTGACGAAAGCATCTTTCTGATGCAATCCTAATTCATAGATTTGATAATTGGACATCCGTGATGTAAAAGTTATCTTTTCATGAAACTGAAAATAGCAGAATAATACCGGCGTTCACTGATTGGTCGAAAGAAATATCCAACAATGAACCCGTATGTTAAGTGAATAGCCGATGCCAGTCACGTTTCCGGGAAAAGTGGGCTTTACCAGAAAAAAAACCCCATATCAGTCAGCCAAGATAACCTTAGTACTTACCAATACTCTCTATGATGATAGGGTGACCTACTGTTAGCATTCTACGCCTTAAAACCATATCAGGGAGTGGTTTGGATTGTATTCGTCAGCGAAAAAAAGGGTTAAAGGTATTTCTCACTGACGATATCAACATATGTATGTCCGTCTAGCAGTTTACAGTCGTAATCTATAACGGTGAGAGCCTGACCCCACGAGGAATGTTCTGTTTCTCCAGTTTTGTAAAGCTTGATTTGGACACTGGTCTTCATAGTAACACCGTGGTCAAACTGAAAAAAATCGATCAGCAAATACAAGCATTAGCATATAACATACATGTACTATCAGAAGTAGCACATTGTATTTAAATTCTTCCACTGTAGTTCAAAATATTTTTATCTTATCTCCAACATCAAATCCATATTTCATTAGTATAAAGAACAGATGTCCATGTGAAGAAGGTTAGTATAAAAAAAGAAGATGCCAAACAAATGGTAGGTACGACTCTTATGTATGTTTATTGGTTTGTGATGTTAATAACTTAATTGATTTTGTTTTTAAATTGATTGCCATTTATTTATTTTTTTCGAAACAAACGGCCAACGGTTATCACTATCAGCATCACTGGACCATATCCACACGGAAATTATTTCGACTATTCATAAATTAAAAAATTAAATTCCTTGGCTTGTTTTTCGACATATAAGAACTAAGTTCGAAACATCGAAGTTTTTCTGAATAACGACCGACATAAAACTAGCTGTTTTCATCCTTCACAAGGATCTTTTTTTTATTTCATAAAGACAAACACAGGACGATGACGTCGTAACACTACCAGTGTGATGACATGTAATTGTGGCGTCATGATATTGTGTTTTCCAAATCGTCCTGAACAGTCAAAGGTGCTAGCTAAAGTGGGTCATTAAATTAGTTTTGCTTGTATTGGGATTATATTTATCATTTTGTTTTGTCATTTCATCTCTAATAAGTGGATTCAATAGGTTGACATGAAATACAAATTATGCCATTTATTTATTTAAACAAACATATTTGTTGAAGCTTATAATAGGTGTACATTATTTATAGATTTTAGGCATTCATTGTTAAATGTTCTTGGGCGCTGACGTGGACAATGCAATTTCATCAAATCGGTTTTCTACACTAACATAAATACTCCTCTCATATGAGACGATATGATTTTACTCAAATTTGTCTACATTAAAAGCATTATAAGGAGACAGTTTTCCTACGTTTTTTTTCATCCTAGACTTGTCGAGATGATAAACAATGTAGCATGTTTTTTCTCTGCGTTGCATTTTCTCAGGGGACGAATACTTTCATCGCAAGCAAGAACATTTTGAAAAAAAAAGAAAATCTTTCAGTCAGAAAGATTTTTCACTAATGTGCAGACCTCAAATGTTAATAAATTGGCAGGTAGAATGATTAGATAAAAAATTCTTCTATAGAAGAAATTATCTCTCCTCATACTTTAAATACATATCAATCGACTAAATCAAACTATCTCTTTTTCTCTCTCTTTTTTTCATCAAAATGCACAAACTCCATTGGTAGCATGGGGATACGGAGGGATAAAACAGATACTATTCGTAGAGCAATGAGGATGATACTTGGCCAAAAGAATTTCAAAATAAAACAAATATGCGATGACTAGAATCTAATTGGCTTAATTTACAATATTAATGATGACACACATGCAAACGTTATCTCCGTTTATTAGACAACGCATGTTGTGGCTCATTATCTTATTAACGATGACATTATGTGTTTTACATATTACAGGCCAGCTGTCGCTTATGTAAATACTAAATTACTCATATCACAAAGAACCAAACCAAAATATCAAATAAATTAAAACGGAATGAATAATTGTTTGACATTTTGCAAGTACATCATCGACCGACATCATGAAACGAACACGTGTTTTATCAAAGACTCCTTATCACGGTTTATTCGTCTAACCCATCACACATTCTCACGTTTTACGAACAATTTATCATGACTGTAGGTGCATATATCCGAAGATGAAATAATATTTCCAATCGATATACAGTTGAAACGAAAAACAAACATTAATTCAATCAAAGAACGATATCTTAACCTACATATAAATTTGTTTCGTTTTAGGAAAGAGTTATCTCCCTCTTCCTAGGCAAGTGTATATACATGTGTGTGTAATAGCGTTTTGAGTTTTCAATGAGTTATTGGGTAAATAAGTGCTTTTATAAATCGCTATCCTGATTGGTTTTTTTTTGTCTAGATGTTGCTATGCACTACTCTTTATGTGTTTATATAATTTTATGTTTCATGCGATGTTTGATAACAGGTATTGATGAGTCATAGTAGGACAAAACAGCTATCTAAAAAGGTGCAATCACGTGTGTGTGTGTGTGTGTGTGTGTGTGTGTGTGTGTGTGTTACATCATCTGTTACATATCGGTGCAAATATCATTATTGAAAATCAAAAGGAAGTTTTCTCACTAAATTGATGCTGACTAGTATCAGTTCTGTAATCAAATAGACATGATTTACCTCGAACAAAAAGGTGAGGTCTTTCCTGTTGCCTCGGTTGTGAGAGTCGTAGTTAACCGTGCTAAATTGTGCCTTATAGTACACTGCATCCTCGTCAGCTGACGTTGTGGGTGTATCCGGGACAAATTCCGTTCTCTCTCCGTGTAACACTAGACCTCTGTAATACAAGCACAAAATAAAATATAGGCATATCTTCAATTTAATCGTTTAAATCGACATACACTCTAGATCTGATGCTTAAAGGTACGCTATCCGAGGTGCAGTATGTGATATTAAATAAATGAATTGATTATGCAGTTTTGCCTTTGTATTAGAAGTTAGAGAGCGAGCTATGCTTTCTAGCAGTTCAGATCATCCCAAAAAGGTGCTTAATTAGAGCAGACCGGTCTATTAACTTAAATCTTTTTTATGCATTTTTTTTATCAACATATAAGTAAAGCGTGTATTATAATGCAATATGTAACTTGGGATTCGAAAATATTGGAGAAAACTATCAACAAAGGGCGTTTAAGCCTGAGTTTTGTACTTTCCATCATTTTCGAATCCCGAGCTATGCACATTTGTACATTTACATTTGTCACTCAACGTAACAGCAAATTTGATATTAAAGTACCACTACATGTGAAGACAGCGAAATCAATACTGCACACATATTTAACACCACGCTAATTCAAATCTGTATAAAGCAAAAATGACATTTGAACTGCGCTTAGTATGCATGGTTTCAATGCACGGGATTAAATGTCTCATGGTTATGAATTAACAGCTATACTTATCATATATCATGCAGCGTTATTTGAAAAGACTGCCATTCAGAGCAGCTGTATAAGTAGGGAAGCTATTCCATTGATAAATATATGAATTGGATGAGTGTTCCATTAGCTGATGTTGTATGAATTTATATTTTGTTTTTACTTTTCGATGCTATAGATAATAACAAACCACAGCATAAACCACCAATTTTGATTCGCTTCAAGTGGAAATGAATACTCTTTCTGCAATTTTGACAGTTTGGATTGTATATCAAGGATGCTTAATCATCGAGTTGTTATATTTTATTTTATTACTTATTTTTATTTTACAGCATTTGCATGCTTTTCTTTGTTTTATTAGGGCGTTAGTTTAACGAAACGATAATTTTTTTCAACAGTCTTCCGGACATGTCTATGTAACAACAGTTTAACTAAACGATCACTTCTTCATTGAGGCATTTTCTTTAAAATTCCGACCTCAGAAACTCCATAAAACGTCCAGACAATAATGCATTTTCACTTTTATATATTAACAAATGAAATTTTCAGTTCGTGTAAATGAATAGAAGTATCTATTGAAATCAACGTTAATTTCCCCGTTAAGCTAACACTGCTTGAATCAAATCACTGTTTGGGTTAGTTGCATGTAGCTTCTTCAGTATATTGACACATTAATGTTCAACATTATTCTACAACATTTTTATGAATATTACTGCTTAAAACAAAATATATAGGTCATGATTAAGAAAAATACGACTCCCGGTTAATATACAAGTATAATATTCAACTTCTGCACATCTATCATTGAAAATATCATGTGAAAAATCTAAATTAGTTTACCGTCAAGCTAACAAGGCTTGAAGAAACTGTACTCATATGTAAGACGTTCATGCCAGAGTGATATATATATATAACTGAAGGCATTGCTCTCTGAGTCAGAAACATGAGGACAGATTTGTGAGGAGGGCCAACCAAAGCATATCAATGTCAATTATAACCAGGATCAGCTCCAGACATGCCTTGTTAGGTCTATCGAACAGATCACTGTAACCACCATGAATCAAAGTGCATGCTGGTGGAAGCCGTCCTGCAACTCCAATGTAATCAGGCATTACTGATGGTGTCTGAAAAATCACATTGTCACCGATTGTTCTCAACGTTTGTTACGTTTTACTCTTGTAACATTATTTGCATATCCCGGGTTAGTTTGATGAAACATAGACTGATACTAACATTTCTTCTATAACATATGTCTGTTGTACTGAATAAATTGAATCAGTTTATCAATTATAAAACACAACACGAGCCAACATATATCGACTGGCGATCTATAAAGAAACAATCGATATTCCGGTAAAACAAGTTATTTTTGTACCAAGTTGGTATCGATTTTCTGACAGGTCGCAGACACTGTATGAACCTTAGACTATTATAAGTGTAATTGGGTTGGACTAATAATACACTGAATACATACATTTTTTATGTCGAGGTTTGACATGTTTGTTGTAAGCGTACAGTATGTGTGTATGTGTAATGCAATGTGCATGCGTGAATTGTGTGTGCAGTGGAGTGTATATATGAAGCAAATCATATCTATGTGTGTGATAAGGGTATGTATAAATAACATACATAATCTGCATGTTATATTATAGTACATAATATATATAGTGATGTGTAAGTGTGTGATAAGTAATGTATATGTATAGATATGTGTGTTTTAATATGTATGTGCATTAAAACCTACTTTACATATGCAACTATGTATTTGTTTCATAATGTGAAAAAAATGCGTTAAACTGTGAGGTAAGCTCAGTGATGTGAACCTGCTAAATAATGTGTACATTTACATTTGATTAGTACTGAATTAATACATGTTAGCAAATATCGGCAGAGAATGATCACATGTAAACACATATCGATAAAAAACGTTCACATGTTAACACATATTGGTACAGAATGAATACACGATAACACAAGTCGGTACAGAATGATCACATGTTAACACATATCGATAAAAAACGATCACATGTTAACACATATTGGTACAGAATGATCACATGTTAACAAATGTCTGTACAAACTAACACATATCAGTACAGAATTAATATATGTAACACATGTCGGTACAGAATGAATACATGTTAACACATATTGGTACCGAATGAATACATGCTAACACATATTGGTACAGAAAGAACACATGTTAACACATATTGGTACAGAATGAATACATGTTAACACATATCAGTACAGAATAAATATATGTAACACATGTCGGGACAGAATGATCACGTGTTAACACATATCAATACAGAATGAATATATGTAACACATGTCGGTACAGAATGAATACATGTTAACACATATTGGTACAGAATGAATACATGTTAACACATATTGGTACAGACTGATCACATGTTAACACATGTCGGTACAGAATGAATACATGTTAACACATAAAGGTACAGAATGAATACATGATAACACATATTGGTACAGAATGAATACATGTTAACACATATTGGTGCAGAATGAGTACATGTTAACACATATTGGTACAGAATGAATACATGTTAACACATGTCGGTACAGAATGATCACATGTAACACATGTTGGTACAGAATGAATACATGTTAACACATAAAGGTACAAAATGAATACATGATAACACATATTGGGACAGAATGAATACATGATAACACAAGTCGGTACAAACTAACACATGTCGGTACAGAATGATCACATGTTAACACATATCGGTACAGAATGAATATATGTAACACATGTCTGTAGAGAATGAATACATGATACATGTTAACACATATCGTTACAGAATGAATACATGTAACACTTGTTACAGAATGAATACATGTTAACACATATTGGTACAGAATGAATGCATGTTAACACATATTGGTACAGAGAGAATACATGTCAACACATATTGGTACAGAATGAATACATGTAACACATGTCGGTACAGAATGAATACATGTTAAACACATATTGGTACAGAATGAATACTTGTTAACACATATTGGTACAAAATGAATACATGTTAACACATATTGGTACAGAATGAATACATGTTACACATGTCGGTACAGAATGAATACATGTAAACACATATTGGAACAGAATGAATACATGATACATGTTAAACACATATTGGTACAGAATGAATACATGTTAACACATTTCGGTACAGAATGATCACATGTAACACATGTCGGTACAGAATGAATACATGTTAACACATATTGGTCCAGAAAGAATACATGATAACACATTTCGGTACAGAATGATCACATGTTTACACATTTCGGTACAGAATGAATACATGTTAACACATGTCGGTACAGAATGAATACATGTTAACACATGTTGGTACAGAATGAATACATGATAACACATATTGGTACAGAATGAATACATGTAACACATGTCGGTACAGAATGATCACTTGTTTACACAATTCTGTACAGAATGAATACATAACACATGTCGGTACAAAATAACACATGTCGGTACAGAATGATCACATGTTTACACATTTCGGTACAGAATGAATACATAACACATGTCGGTACAAAATAACACATGTGGGTACAGAATGATCACATGTTTACATATTTAGTACAGAATGAATATATTTTACACATTTTGGTACAGAAACGAATACATGATAACACATACCTATACAGAAAGGACACATGGTAGAATAGGTTGGTACAAGAGGAACAAATGTGACCAGGGTATGAACGATGAACCGGGTGAAGAATATGAGTGCACATAGAACACACACACAACAAAATATTACTGATTCCGAACGAACATAACTATTTGAACAGTTTTCCTCATATAACAGATCTATATTACAGAAGCAGTCTCTTCATAACTGCAGGCCAGTTAAATTAAATAGCAATAATACACATCAATTCGAAAATGTCAAGCCAGCCTACGCAAAATTGCTAATAATTTATTTCACTAAGATTCTAATTATGACTGAATCTGCATTGAATGCTAGTTAAATAAAGTGAAGGTATGTTGAGGGAAGATAAGGATGAGGGCCAGATGAATAATTGACACATTCTGTGTTAGAACATGGCAACGTTAGAGAAAGCAGGACTTTAGAGCGCTCACTGGTATCGACGGCGTGGTTCCCTACTCCTAGCAATGTTGTGGTAATCTTTACACTAGACCTGTATAAACACATCCTTGTTTTACAATGCATATCGATATACTAACGCTAGACACAGTCAAATTTATCAGGGCTAGGTAATAAAAACAAATTCACCAAAAAACTCGTTTTAAGTACATTCAGCAGTCATTTGGGCTGCGTTTTCCCCTCTCCTACTTGTAGATTGCTAGAAAGAAATATCGACCTTGCCGAAAACTGCCTGTTTCTATGTATGTGCAGGAAAGCATTGGTTTGTCTGCACTAAGCTTTATCTAATAAGCATATCGTCATTTCAAGTACACTTTGTATGGTGATATTAGCACTTAAAGTTTTAAAGATGTAAAATGCCTTTCCCATAAATTTTCATGAGAAAGGAATATAAGATAGAAAGTCCTTGTTGTGAACAGCATACCATTGTCAGTTTAACAGGTGATACTCAAATTCAAAATACTCTAAAACAACAAGTCACTGTATGAATTACCTGTCTATTGATAACTGCAGGATAAGTCATTCACCAAATGCTAATTGTATTACAGATGTATATTGTATATACACAACCTGTCTACAAAACAAAAACCACTTTCTATTAAGGCCGATTCAGGAAATAGAGTAATGGAAGCAGTATTTTTGTTTTTTGAATTTCTGTTATAAAGTGGTGTTTGTAGTTTTGAAAAAAAACCGAATGAATAGATTGAGAAATTAAAAAATACACTTAGAACACTATCTATTTCCAGGAAACGTTCGACGTTAAGTAACGTGGCCATGATGGCTGGAAGGACAGTTTCTTTCACGTGTAAAGGTTATCTTCCCGTGCTGTTATATAAACACAGCCGACTACAGCTACTACCTAATTTTGAATATCAAAAATTGAGAATAGTTTATAAGAACGTTCTTGACAGAATTGTTGAAGATCTTGTTAGCTTACTGTATGGTTAAATCAAATGTTCAATCATTGTTTACACATTTTGCTGTTTATTGCTTTGAACACGTTGTTTCTGTAATGCCGTTTCGTTTAAACATTACTTATTCATTTATTCATTAGCTCATTATACATTGATATACAACTTGCTCATGTAAATGATATTTGCTGTATGTTTTACCATATCCGGCAAAAGAAAATATTAGTATTTTAGTTTTTAAAACAACATGTGAACGCCAAAATCCGGCTTTTTTAACCATTAAAATCTTCTCTATTTCCTTGTTGATTTGCATTACATTATGATGAATTTCATCGATATATCGAAAACAAATCCTTTTTTTCTTCTCATTTTTAGTTTACTTTAGTACTTCAGCTCAAGACAATATATTTTTTAATAGTTCAGTTTGTCATTATGTCGAATATATGTTATGTGTTTCATAAAAATTTAAAGCAAAGACGTAAAGACTAAATGAGGGAGAAAATTCACAGGAAAACACCTAAACTCCTAGGAAAGTCGAAGGTAAAACCAAGACCCTTAAAGGTAAAGTATTTTCAGCACCATAAGTGGTACCCGTCATAATAATATGTATTTCCATCTATTTATATTAATGTTACTTTTATATATAAATAATAATTGTATATAGTTTGCTGTCCATTGTATTGTTGGTGCCATTATGTAATTGTTAATAGAAAGGGACATTTTTTTAAAGTTGTAATAACTTGTGTCCAATTCCTTTTGAATTATTCAAATAAAAATATGTTTAAACTAAACTTTACTAATGGTCTCTGACTTATAGTTGTCTTACTGCATTGCTAACGTAAGACTATTTGTTTTCCAACGTAATAGTTTATTTGGTAAAGATAATTACCGTTGAATATGCTCTCCAAGTCAGTCAATATTTGATTCCTATTAATATGAATCTTACTATAGCAAATCATCGTTATGGTACTCCAAGATATTGCAATGTACACAGATGTACAACAGATATTAATTAGACAATCATGTATAATTAACAGCATGCTTTATATTACTGTTGCGTCCATGGTCTGTAGTGACATTTCAAAATATTAAGTCAATAGTCCAAGTATTTTGTTCATGAGATATCAATCATACTTAAAGGGAATGCAATATAATTTGATGTTGTATTTTAGTGCTAAAGTCTTTTACTAGTAACTCCCATGATTTGTTGGGTTTTTTATATACATTTTTTAATTTCTTATGAGCTAATAGAGGATACATAGTCTTATTTTAAAACATAGTTGATTTTGACAAATGCTTTGTATGTATACTATGACAAACGTAGTGTTCGTTTTAACAATGGTATATTTTTTACATACGCAAAATTAGCCTAATGAATGGTGAAAATACCAACATCAATTATCTTTATAAATATTGGGGTTATTTCCTGAACAAGCAAATTGATTGTCTGCAATATTTTCAAGCAGCCTGAATGGTTTTATTGTGTTACATAATCATGACACTGTCATAGTGCTGGTGACTCACTCAAACCATTGCGTACGTATGCATTACTTGCCTGCCTGAAAGCAGTTATAGATTGCAGGTGGGGTTTTTTCTAGCAATAATGGCTTTATTGATTTTTGGTATTTGCCCGTTTTAGAAAATAAAAATATTTGTTATATCGAGAGAATCAACTCTTTGCCAGTAGTAATTAATAAATACAACTTCCTGCTCAGCACAATATCCTAGTACAGAAGAGGATTCCCTTGTGTTTTCGAACACGAAGGTTCGATCAACTTCACTCAGCGCTCAATCTGTCTAGAATATCTATTCTAGCAAATATGCACGCACATAGCGACAGCTGTGAAATACAAAACGTGTCCCGGTATATTCAGACCGATGTCCCCCGATATCAACAGTTATCATATATAATTAGGATGATTGTATTTACTGATAGAGAGTTTATTAAACTCTAGGAAGTCGGGTTTGTAACGAATTCCAGATGGAAGTGGTGATAAAATGCTACATATGCATATAATATATTGACCACGTGCTGAAGCTATAACGAAGAGAGATAGAATTACCGCAGGGGTGTATGTTATGCAGTATGTGTAGTATTTTACATAGCAGGTGTAAAACAAATATTCATTGAAACATGACAAAGAACGAAACGATGATGTCTTGAGTATCCGGTCAGGACAAAACTTACAGGGGCGCTATTCCATAACTTGTTAAGTTTTCTAGTCAAACATTTAGGACAATCTACTTGAGACACAAAACAATGAAAGATTATTTCTTATCCCTTGCTTATATTCACAAAAACACGTTGTAGGCTATTTATTTGAAATTGGAACACGTTTGATACTATATATAGCTTCAAAATATTTGTACAGAGTAGGGAAACTGTAGCTTATAATTGCCGTACTTGTGAAGGTAGTATTACAAGCAATATCAAGGAAGCTGTGCATTGTTATCAGGAATAAACTTACAATATCTATCACGAGAGGGTCATACAGTCGAGTTCACATACATCTTTCCCAAGGAGTTCGCTCACACACACATTAGAAGAACATACATGTATTTGTGTATATACCTTTTTTTAATGGATCAATGTACAATCTAATACACTTGAATGCTAATATTAATTGATATAACCGAACATGTCTTTGAATTATTAAACATCCTTACAGATTATAAATAATCAAGTTTGGTGTTAGGTTACCCGAATTCTTCAACTTGACCCAAAGGTCACGTCTATTTTAATCTGTTTACAACTCAGGTCCAGTAAACCGTGGCGATGTGTACATATCGTAAACAGTGTATACGTACACTTGTGTGGCAGGCTGTACCGTCGGTCGCTTATCTAAAATTGAAAGTATGTCCGACTAAAATGACCCTGTTTTTGTATTACAAACTACTACTGTTACAGTAGTAGTAGTATATATATATATATATATTATTGTCGGAGTAAAAATAGCGCCCAAGGCCAAATTGGCAACCGAGAAAATATGCTGTGTATATACATCCGATCCAAAACATTCCATTCAAACAGACAGATCTCATCAGTGTTGTACACAATCAATGAGAACCAAAATGCAAGTATAGTACACTGAAATGGGAGTCACCAAGTGCTAGCGTGTATTGCTACATGGTGCTGATGGCGAAATGAAAGTAGAATCAACTTACCGAAGAATCATTGAAGGTCTGATCGTTAGCTTTATCCAATAGTCGGTGTTTACATTCAATTTAACCGTCTGAGATTTAGAAAACCTCTCTCCGTCTTGTTTATGATAAACCGGTTCGTCATTTTCCTGTTTCCTCAATGACACGGAAATCTTGTAATTTTTTGCCATTTGTTCAATTAATTGTTCTAGGTTTGCTCACATGTTACATAAACGTCTTCTGGCCAACTCTACGCCCCTTTGTCGTCTGCTAGGTGTCTTCGGTTTGCCGCTCTGTCAACTGTCGTCTGCTTAAACCCAATGCTAACACGAATGCCGAGTGAATGAACACATGATGAACATATCGCCTTGGTAATGCCGACGTCTTGACTTCGTATAACCTCTCTGTTGTAAGCAAATTCTAATTGGTATACAAGGGCCGGTATGCAGTTAAGTGGCCGGCGATCAATATCTGCATTAATCTCGGAGTATTGAGCACGCATGCGTAAACATCAATTCTGATAGTCATGCCGTGTCTATGGGAGTGGAACATTTATAAAGATGTCGCCTGTCAGTGACATGTCAGGTCGTCACCAATCAATAAGGCCGTCATATTACAGCTACAGAATGCAGGCGATATAGCTGTCCCTGGCTTAATAGAGAAACAGTCCAGTGTATTCAACTCATCTGTGGACTATTTAAAATCAATTTTAAATAGTTTTTGGCCCATTTTAACGAGACCTTGGTTTTTCTTTTCACTGCAATACATTGACTGTTCTGTTTTTATTTTAAAAGTACTTAATTTTTATTTCCAGATTTTACGTCCTCCTATACCTTAGCCTTCCCGAATAATGAAGCAGTGTAGAAAATGGCGTTCTGTTCGATTTTCTAACGGACTCTTTAAAAACAAGTGTAAGTACTCATTTCAGGCTTGAAGGCTCTATATCCTTTGATACAACTTAAGATGTAATTTCCAAACAAATTTTACGGTTTCAAAATATATTACAATACCATTTTTTACGAAAGTTCATGTTTCAACTAAGGAAATACTTGCATCATTGAAACAGTCAGTAATTTCAAGTTCATGTTATTTTTGTTATTATTGATGTCTATGTGTCGTGAATATGCGACATTTATCTTAAATTATTATAACGATACAACAATATAAAAGATATACAGTAGGTATCACTGGAAATCATTTAATAACGTAAATTTACCCTCTTGCAACAATTTTTGTTGAAAAAAAAATGGAAACATCTCTGTAAACCACTTTAAAACTGAGCTGTATAAGATGATCACTGTTACGTCAAATCGAATGTGAGCTGAAAGTGTATAGTCCAAATATAGTCCGGATACCATTTGGACTGTTCAATGATAATAACACAAAAAACGAAGGTCGTTAGCATACACAAGTAAGATTACAGTGATCTTTTCCATTACGCTCCATTCGAATATAATCAATATATTGAGAGAAAAGTGAATGTAACGGAATAACTGAATATTTTAATGATGTTTAACTTTGTCTAACGATCTATCTATCTATCTATATATATATTGTTGATCACGAATTCAATCACCTAATTATAACTGGGCTCTGAAGTATGCATCTGTAAAGGGTGATTTTCAAATGCGTGATGATGTCGCTTATTTTATTATGTTTTTATTTTTCTGAGATGTTTGGGCTAATGACTTCGTGAGTAGATTTCAGTTTTGCGCTAAGTATTACAGTAACCATCAAATGGTCGTCTATCATGCAATCTAACAGACAGCAAAAACTCGTTGTTCTGATAGTGTTTGTCCATCCAGCTATAGTAAATCTTGAAAGACGTTTGTGGTAAACGAAGTGGAAACTTATATGAACGACATTATAACGAGGTTTTACTTTATTCTAAAAAAAACAATTCTTTAACAAATCAATACACGAAATGACGATCTTATTGTTATCTAAGTAAAAATTTGGAATTACCTTTTTATCAAACTATTCGTTATTTATTATGAAACTGATGAAAAGTTAGATACCATAATGATTTCAAACCTTGCATCGTCTAGTACAAATGATGATGTTTTATGCCAATTAGGTGGCAAACAGAGTCAAAATCGATTCTCCATTTTTTTCAAGGATTCATTATGTGTTAACTTCGGGTTTGGTGTCTCCTCACGCGTAGCATATCTTACCTAAATATCAATTTCAATTTGTTGGTCCAAACATAGAAAAAGTACGTAAGTTTATTAATATTTGAATAGGATCTACTTGACTAGAAGGATATATTTCAATGCGAATAGAGAGCAAACCACTTTAAGAAAATTCTAGCATAAACAAATACCTCTTGCCGGCTTTAAAATGATACCTTGTACTATGCATAGCTTATACAGATCTCTTTTAGATAAGAGGTATACCTGCGGGACATCGACGCACTTGGCAAAAAACAAAAAACAATTCACATGCCTCAGATTAACTTTGAAAATCATAAAGGGTGCTATATTAATGTTATCTATTATTGTTTAATGATTGTCACTAATAATATAGCAATTACACCATAAATGGTCCAATGGAACCTACATTAGTTGTTTTTTCCTGAGATCAGACGTAATATTAGATGACAAACAACATTTGTTTGATCTTAATCAATATTCATATTATGACGTCATTTCATTGGTTAGGTCAGAATGGTCTGTGCCAAGTGCAGTACATTAGTCCTAACAATTTTATGTTCCATCTTGTTTAACGATTTTTACATTATTTAGCATCTTATATGACAATTAAAGACTTTTATGTCGGTGAACATGTAGTTATATTGCATCAAGTCAATAATTGATAGTTATTCAAGTCTTGATATACGGCAAAACCCAGACGTTTCCATTACATTATTGTGTTATCCTGACGGCGCTATGCATTATTATTTAGCATATAATGTATCCGTGTTCAAATATAGACTAAAACGAATATTATTCCCGAGCCCTTTCTGTTCATTTATTTTTAATTGTGTTATATCAATTACAAAAAAAAAACATACATGTTAACAAAATTGTTACAATAAACCAACTGGCTTATGTTTTTTTGTACATCCTCAATCATTGAATCATATTCACGTAGGTCGGTGATATACTGTGTATGATTATTACTATTTTTAGAAAGAACATGTCAATATGCTCTTTATGTCGTCAATTCAATTGTAACGTCACAGTGCTCTTTACCAAATGTAGTGAGCTACTCTTGATATTTATACGTTCCAATTGTGTAATGATATATTTAAGCTTCATTTCATCTAGCAACTTATATGTATTTTGTATGTAATAATTAAGGATTTTTATTGAGGTTGAAATATGTGCTTTTAGAACTTGCACAACCTAGAATTTGTTCCGAACAAAACAAATCTTTTTCGTGTCCTTTTTACCTTTTATTGACCTCAACACATGTCCATAATTGTAAAATAAATACCACTGCAGTCTTTACACAAATATTCGTGTACAATAGATCTGATAAAATGAGTTCCCAATATGTAATAGTCGCAATACAATGACGAGAGTCTTGTTAACAGTAGAATAGAGCTCCCGGCGGTATATGTACATGAATATATCATTGCATGCGGCAAATGACCAACCGTACCTGTGACACATTGGCCTCGAGGTAAAGAAGCAACTAATGTTATGTAATGACACACATTTGAATGAAGACACTTGCAGTGCTATTATAATGTGTAAGTCCATGTGACACACATTTGAATGAAGACATTTGCAATGCTATCATAAGTGTGTAAGTCCATGTGGGTCTTGTTCCTATTAGTCACCCAGTAACGCGTGATGTATTCATATTGACTGATTCCAAATGGTACACATAAAGGCATAGCCTCACTGTGTTCGACTTATATTAAAATTATATATATGTTACACAATTCAGGAAACAGTTTTCTCTTGCTGCGCTTCGCGTTTAGTTAATAACTGAAACAGTGCTACGATTGTCCATTTGTACATGAAACCGTTTCTAAAATTATAACTATATTTGTTGGTAACGAATGCCCTACTGAAAAGATTAACTTTGTTCACTTGACTGTTTCATACACACGATAACTCACGTATATAATTTTTAATGGTTCTTGCAAAACGGTAACTGAAACCAGGGTAGTACTAATAAAGGTCATGATTGTAATTGATTTCTAACGTTATTAATCTAAAATATATGTTTGGAGAGATGCGCTACTTTTAACGAAAGTTAGTGATATTACCTGGTGTACGGACGTCACAACGTATGAAACTGTCTCTCATGGACAGTAGTCAGCATAATCTATACATGTTTATATTATATATATAATGTATCATGACGTCATCACTTTCTGTGTTGTGTTGTTGTCCTGTCAACATAAATAATCAGTTTACCTGATGGAGATACTAAGAAACTATTGTCATTTGTATTTTATATTTTTATATATATATATAGAAAACATAAGATCTAACGACCGACTTAAAAAATAAATAATGCTTTTTAGTCGGTCAATAGATCTTATTATATTTCTGTACTTACCTACTTCACATGGATATATTTATATATATGTTGATGAATACAGTGTTGATTGGTTTTTGTTTTCGTAACATTACATTTCCTTGAGAACAAGATTGTTATTTATAGTTATGGCATGATCCTAAACATAGTTTAATAGAAGCTCTTCGGTAATGAAGGTACAAATAATATTATCGCTGGTCATTTAAGTTCCTCTAGATAAAACCTCAAGTTTCACCACGCCCCGATGATAATGGTCTTCTTTTAAAGTAGCGGTTTTGAAATTTTACTCATATACCAATCCCCTTTGTATTAGAATATCATCATCGAAAAATAACAAGAAATACTAAAGTGTTACCACTAGAGCAAATGTGAACAAAGTAGGAACTTTTATAAAAAAAACCCATGGAGAATGAGACCAGGTGTTCCAGAAGGGTAAGCGTCTTATGCTTCACCAACGACACCCGCCACATGAATCTAGGTCAAATAAAAGTAATTTTGAAGTCCTCACATCAAAAACTCGGGAAGTGACAACAAAATCATGCGTGATACTTATGAGCAGTATAAAATAAACTGGCACAAAACAACACAAAGAAATAAAATATTTCTGAATGAGATCCTGATGGCAACCACACAACTTTTCCATAGTCTTCATCAACCTGTGTCTTTTGAAACACTGTGTTGTAAGTTTGTCCCGTCAGCAGTCGACATCTATCACGGAAGTCGTGATATTAGGAGCCAAGCTCGTGAATATCGAATCGACTGTGACATATAAACACCAAAGTTAGGGGAGATTAGTATGTGTTGAAGCCAGTGATAGCGACACTTTAGAACATGCTTTAAAAAAATGACTTTGGTAAATCTTTTACTCTAATTCATTTGAGATGTAACAAGGCATTTTGTATTTTAAATATAATTTGTAAGTTTAAAAAACGTAAAAGGCGACGAAACCGTAAAAATAAGCGCATTGTGTTGTTGTTTGGCAAAACTGTGTCATTCAGTTAGATCATGAATGCCATACAAAACACTTCAATGCGCTTATTTTTACG